TCGTCATAACAAATCCGATTCTATATACATTAAGTCATAAGACATCCTCAATTGCCCATCTAAAATTCTCTTTAAATCGATAGATTAGACTTCCACCCGTCGCCGAAAGGAAAAGACGAGCGAATTGCGTCCTATTTGCCCCAAATCATGCCTTATTGCCTGGTTTGACCGGTGTGGCCTGCGGCACAGCCCACCAGTCATGCCAGCGTGCCTTCGACCCAACCTCCGGGACCTCTACACGTAGGCTGACGCGATGACCGTTGGCTTGAGAGCTGGTTTCTCCAGAGTCGGCGAGCGCCTTCTTCACCGCTTCGATAGCGATGCTTGCGCCTATGCAGGCCCGCATCGTGTCCTTGACCTCGGACTTCCAGTCTTCTTCGATGGCCGGTGCTTGGTATGTTTCGCCCCGAGAGTTCTTAATGAAAGTACCATTGGCGAGTGTGGCTTCCCAGGCCTTGCGGGCTTCTGAAATAGCCTTTGAGGCGCGTTCTAAGACAACGTCATCGCTGTCCCCTTCCAGAATCGCTTCCCGGCGATACTCTTCGTACGGCACCAGTTCCGGCAGGCTGATAGGGATGAAAGGCTTCATTCGAATTTCGTAGCGCAGCCGCTCGCTGGAGTACGCTCCTGGAGCAGAGGCTGTCGGCAGAAGATTGTGCCGAGCGAGGAGTACATACAAAGCATGCAGGGATATCGCAAAGGCGTCTATAGCAACAATATGTGTGGTGAGTCTCTCGAGGAGTCGAAGCGTCTTATGAAAAGCGGACTGCCGCTCGGCTGAGTTGCTCTTCATTGCAGCCATAGCGACCAGACTTCGTTTGGCGGCAGCGACAGTAAATGTCCGTATTCGGTCGATGTGAGCAAGGTGCGTGGAGCAGATGTGAGAAAGATACCAGTACATGCCAGCAAGTTCTTCGGGCGCGTATATTGAGAGTTCGAAACCAAGCTGAATGATAAGACGGAATTGGCTCAGCTTCTGGTGGTATGCCCAGCTGCTGAGGGGGTAAGAGTAAGTGGCGTCACCGTTCGAGAGTGTAAGCGGAGATTCTTCGCTGAGAGTCCGAAGTTGCTCGTCGAGTTCTTCGGCCTGGACAAAGGTCAGTATTTGTCTGAACTGAGCATCATTCATTGTGTCAACTCGGGGTGCATACCTCCATCTGAAGGTTGTCCCAATCAATAATTGTATGGCAGAGTGTCCGACGAATGCGGCATCGGTTCAGGCACGCACTTCGAAAAGTGTCTACAAAGGGCTATATAATGGTCAGAAAATGCCGACTACGCGAAAGAAGCGGCAGGACCTCACCTGAGCGAAACGTTTAACAAAAGCGTCCATCCGCTGGGCAATCTGGAACCGAGGGTCCGAGGGCACCTCAGTATCGTCAATGTTGGCATCAAGAAGCACGCTCGAAGAGAGGACAAATTCGGACAATTCGTCGTACAGAAGTCCTTTAAGCGAGACTTTGCCAAGGACAGTCATGTTGCTCAGGATGAAGGTTTGGGTAAGTGAACGGATATAAACGGATGGTTGAGGTTTTCGAGAAAGCAGTGTCCAAACGGCGACCTGAATTCGTTAAAAGATACATTCAGATTCATCTTCATATGGGAAAGGCCTGGAGTACCTTGAAATTGTATGGGCCCCCATACTCAACGAGTTCCTGTAGGTCAATTGCATCTCGGCACAACCGTCGCAGATGCGCCAGCGCATCCTCGAAACTAACCTTCACCATGGGCCGAGGCGGCACCGTGCTGGCCAGTCTCCGCTGAATTTTCACACTGAAGGCATCAGGCACAGGCTTTCCGAGAGTGACAGATTTGGTAAGGGAGGACAACTGGGATAAGCAAGACGCAAAGTAGCCGGTTGACTTGTTCTCCAAGATATCAATGTCGTGGCCTAATGCGAGGAGGAACTCGCGTCGAAAGATCAGCCGGGATGTGATTGCATCACGCAAGTTATGATCGAGAGCATCGCCTGTCGCTTCAGTCCAGGAGACCGCCTCATCGAGGACGTCTCGAAAGTGTTTCACATGAAATTGTGACAGTAAGCTGCGATTATAAAGCTGAGTGACAAAGTCCTCTTCCTGCAGAGAATCAGAAAATGTCTGGTGCGTTTGGTAAACTTTCAAGAACGAACTTCGTAGTAAAACTCCGCGGAAACTCGCGAATGGACAAAATCACAGCACTTAACCAGCGCAAGGCAGTAAGCGCGGAGTACAAGATGTAACAGTTTTGAGTCCTCCTTCCTGTTACCCGATTTTTCACGCGCAAACTGAGCATCTTCGAAGGTCTTCGGTACCGGCCATAACAGTTTATCGAGGTACAAGGACGTAAAAAGGGTCTGTGATAGAGGATGTCCCATATGCCACGCCATCTGCCATATTACAACCCGTTTAGTCAAACACTGATGACCGCCGGCTTTGCAGAGGAACCCACTCACCTCATGGCAAAGCAACTCGTCCATGATTCCCACTACTTCTTCCGGAGCCAGCTCCCGCATCATGTCGTAGTCGTCCTCCAAGGCATGTGCGTGATTCTCTCCAGGCCCGAGGTACCCACTGTCCATCTTTGAATCCATTATCTGCCGGAAATCAAGACCGGTCAGTCAACGAAAAAGTTTCGCGGTCGAGTATCGTCTAGCAGCGAGATTGAAAGGATTGCAACCCACCTCCAAGGCGCCGACTGCCTCAAACAGCGTGAAGTACTCATCTTTGACGAGTTCTCCTGTTCGCAGTTCTAGCAAAAAGATGAACGGTCAGTAAAGCTTTGCGATGCACCAGACAGCGGGTCAATCAGAATATGAAAGGAAGACAACGAAGGAAAACAGGCTTCTTACTCGAAGCAGCTTGTGTGAATACATCTGTGATGTCGCGTGGGACCACCGACTGCGAGACGACTCGCATCGTCGGGACGCGGACTTCGTTACTTGGCAGCATTAATATTCATCCACGACCATCTGCAGCCCGCTGCGAGGTTGAACATCTATAAGAAATTGACTTTGGGGGGCGATGGCTCAAATGGACAAGACGGCGGAAGGATGGGAGCGGGGAGTTGGCGGACAGTAGGTATGCGACTCGCGGAAATGAAACCCACAAGGACGCAAAAGGCCGCAGAGACTTGATGTGGGCGGAGAGTGAACGTCTGCTTACAGGACTCTTACACTACACCCAGATAGAGTCTACATTTTAACGCTGATAAATGGCAGGAAGAAACTATTCCTTCTATTGATTTCAACAAACAGGCCAATATTGCTACAGTGGTTGTTCCCCCCTCGGGTAAAGCTTCCCCTAGGCCTTTGATAGCCCAATTCGCTCCCTATATCATCGTATCGATTCGTCTTCGGAGGAAATAGTCTACTTCGACTCCTGAGCAGCCTGCTGGTTGGTTTCGGCGATGCTCTTGACTTCGCCCTGCTTGCCGTTCTGTATTCAAGCGAGAAATCCGTTAGCCGAATCCAGCCAGTCATTGTACCCATCACCACCACAATCCAGCACAACAATGATGCGTATACGAACCTCCCACTTGGCAAAACGCAGTTCCGACTGTCCACGGCGCTCAGCAGCGAGACGAGGACCCTCCTTGAGAGATCTGCGCACGGCGCGGGCAGCGACGGCCAGGTAGCGGTTGTAGCTATAAAAAGTCAGTACCGGATCGGTCGCGCGTTGTTAAGCGGCATCGTCGGTAGGATGGGTTATGCATACGTCAAACCAGCGGCTTTCCACGCAGCTGCCATTTTGAAGACGGATGAAGTTGGAGGGATTGTGTTTCGAATGGAGAATTAGAAGTCGTCGGGTATGTGACGCTTGAACGAGTGTAGAGTTTCGGAGGATCGGGAACTTCAGGTCATGTGATCCACGTGATCGGACAGCATCTTTCGTCGGCCGTTCAACGACCAAAAGGGGGATACACCGACAACAACTGAATTCAAAATGTCTGGCTTTGACTGAGAACTAATTCTGCTGCTGCTATTTGTTGTTCCACGAGTACGAAAGGACTCAGCACAGTGATCGGCTAGCCAGCTATGGATTTGAGCCACTACTGATACCCGAGCTCTACAAGTTCATGATGTCTCAAACTTGCAAGCATATAGTACGATGGGATAGGGCATTGAAGGAAGAGGCTTTCCTTTACTCGGCATACAACCGAACGATATAACATGGCGCTTCTTGTTGGTTGTGGCTTCGGACCTGGTTCTTGGACTCTACAAAGTATCAAGTTATATCAACAAGGTAGCTACAGTACTAGGCGACCCTTAACATTGAACTGAAAGGTTCCTTCAGTCCTGCCAGAATATACTGCAATTTAAGAAGACCTGCTTGTTTCTCCGTTCTTGACGCAGGCTCCGAAGCAAGCATGCCCGCCCTATATTCCATGGCCGGTCCGTCCAGAAATGTGCCATATAGTACTGCTCTTAACGTACTGTTCTTAACCAAGAAGAGATCATCCGTATGCATTCATATACCATATTCACTTACTGAACAAAGAATACAAGCTTTCTTTACGCATGGTACGCCGAGATGCAAGAGATTGAAGCTTCTTCTGTGCATGAAAAGCAGCAGATGACCGTATTAGACAGACTAGTACGCATCATATACACCCAAGAACAACAAGCTATGGTCTGCCCTTGTTTTCACCTTTCATTATTCACTCACCTCTCTCCCTCATCTTTCTCATCTCCTCTTACCAGACTCATCTTCCTCTTCTGACTTACGGAGGTCGTTGGAGATAGCTACTTTGCAACTCCTGGAGGCTAGGAAATGCCAACTTGAGGAGAGAACGCAAACCAGATAGTACGTATGTCAACATCCTAGAACCTTTTCAGTCAGGTGCTGCATCTGGCCTCCAGGTAGTGTTTCGGGTCTCGCCATCTCTCATCTTTCTCTCACTTTCTTGCCAGTGCCGCTGTACAGCGCTCCCTGTTCCGAAGCCTCCCTCGCGCTCTTGACTATTCATGGAACATCAACAGATATCAAAGCTCACTACAAGGCACAGGTACACATATAAACATGAGCTCGCTGAAGAAGGAGTCGAATAGGCCTAAGAAGCGGACTCTGGTTCGTTGGGACTGTAAGTATTCCCTTGCTGTTGGAGGCATTTTCGGGCACTGGAAACCGAGCTGACTCGTTTGATAGCCGAATTAGACGAGCTACTTCTCCTGACAATACAGTCTGTCTGTAACGCAAAAAATGTAAAGATTCCCTGGGCAGATGTTGCGTCCACCATGGGCCACAACGTCACGGAAGGAGCAATAGTCCAGCATTTATCTAAACTCCGCATTCGCCGGATCGATGCTGGTAAACCCGTCCCTCCGCCACTTCGACGGGGCGGCCTCGGGGCTCCGAACAAATCTTCAAACGCGTCGGCAACATACTCTAGCGGAGGAGGTCGGCGCAGGATGCGCAAGGCACGGGAGTCTGACAGCGCGGCAGATCCATCTGATCTTGCACAAGATACTGATATTTCGTCTGATGAAGAGTACGTGGTTAGACGTCGCTCAAAGGCTCAGAGAGATGCTGCACAGAGCAAAAGCTCGAGAGTCCAAAGCAAGGAAGACCACCAAGTCCAGCCGCAGTCCGCAAGTGACCAGGACGCTGATGGCAGTCCGATTGGCTCCGAAGACTTAGTGGTTTCTGGTGCCCAGTTTCTTAAGTATCCCAATCACAGGGGGCTCGGAATCGTTCCCGCTCTCGTCTGCGAAAGCGGAGCAAGGTAGTTGTTCTGAGATACAGGCGTGGAACACAGCCTAAAAGCGAAAAGCCTGTCAAAGTCGAGAGTCCAGAACATACTACGGTCAGCGCTTTCGATCCTCACAATCAGAGTCTACTTGACCAGCAATTGTATCAGGATCTTCATGGCGCAGACAATTCAAATGCCATGGGTGCGGCAGATACTCACATCATGGGTGGGAATTATTTGGCCGCAGATCACTCCAACATGGGCATATCGTCCATCCGAAATTCAAACTCCAATTTTCTGGATTTTACTTCTAGCCAGGGTCTGCATATGAATGCTTATCAGAACTTTTATCCCAGTTCACAGAACGAGCAGCTCGGCTTTGTTCCGAACACCTTGAATGATCTGAATCCCCATCAGAGTGAGCAAATGGGCATTGCTCCAGGGGAGCAATGCATGTATTTTGACGACATTTTTCAGTACATACATGGCAATGATGGGCATAAAGACAATAATGGGGCCAACTTTGCAGTTCCGGGGACCATGGATCCCTTTTTCTGATTCTTCCTGACAGAATCATATGGCTCAGTGTCAACTTTCAATGACCTTGGATACCCAAGCTCAATACTTATGTGGCCTCGCTACGATTTAGCATTTCGTTTGAATTTTTTTCTCTTACCAACTGAGCTTTCTGGAAGGTCAGCCTCGTTGAGGATGCATAATAATTGGGCAAAGCCGGGAATCGTGGTTCAGGAATTCTTCTGGCTTTTTCATGATCTTCGCTCTTTGGAATGACTTTGTCAGCATCTGCTTATTCTGCATCATACCCGACTAGATTCTGTTTTTGCTTCTTGCGTATTTTTGTTGCTTTGCAGTGCTTTAGCTTTCGTTTCGTTGCAATTGCTTCTATCAATCAGCTCTCGGTCTTTCACAGCATGGAACAGGGAGATTGGATATCTTCTAGCCTTAACGAACATATCACCTCAATTTCTACAAATTATGATAAAGTCTTGCTTTACCTTCGGAGGAAGAAAAAGGTGTATACACATTCGTAATCATACGGAGTAGAGACTATATGACAATCTATGGTGGGAATTTCGGCTGGGACGGATTAGATCTGACCGTTCAGCGACAATCATTAATCATATCTGTATCTTTCGCTTTAAAAAGATACATGTGTAGGCCCATTCAGCTCTACGTATGCGAATGATCCTCAGATACTGTTGCCCATCAGCCATCTGTGTATGAATTTCCCCTTCCGACGATCCGAGAACATCCCTCGGGAAGGCCACACGTGACCTTCTAGGAGCTTCTGCCGCCAAGACATCCGGGGATCGAGAACCGCCTGGAAAAATTTCAGAGACTTTGGCTTCATCTCCCCAGCTTTCATCTCCATTCCATCCTCCTTATCTTCTATTCTCCCTCTTCTCTTCCTTCTCTGCACCTGTTCTTGCTCTGGGAGGTTCGATCGGGCAGTAGTCGTTCCATCTTAACGTTGATTATCTTCTCTTCTATCCCGTCCTTCTATCACCCTTCTTCCCATAATGCAGAGAGCTCTTTCTTCCAGGACGTCTGTCCTTTCCGCTGCCTCCAAGCGGGCTACTTTTTCCAAGCCCGCTGGTCTTAACCTGCAGCAGCAGCGTTTTGCCCACAAGGTATGTTCTCATCTACAATTCGCAATTCTACGCTCCTGAAGCGGTGCCAATTTCTCTTCCCTGTCACCCGGAGCTCACCCCCGATACCTTGCTAACGACCTTTCAGGAGCTCAAGTTCGGTGTCGAAGCTCGTGCTCAGCTCCTCAAGGGTGTTGACACTCTGGCCAAGGCCGTGACCTCGACTCTTGGTCCTAAGGGTCGTAACGTCCTTATCGAGTCTCCCTATGGCTCTCCTAAGATCACCAAGGGTATGTTTGCCTCGAGCTAGCCCCGAATCGCTGTTTTTACCTATAGTTGAAACGACTTGTGTACTGACTGAAATAGATGGTGTCTCTGTTGCCAAGGCCATCACTCTCCAAGACAAGTTCGAGAACCTCGGTGCTCGCCTCCTCCAGGATGTCGCTTCCAAGACCAACGAAATTGCTGGTGACGGTACCACCACCGCTACCGTCCTTGCCCGTGCCATCTTCTCTGAGACCGTCAAGAACGTTGCTGCTGGCTGCAACCCCATGGATCTGCGCCGCGGTATCCAGGCTGCTGTTGATGCTGTCGTCGACTACCTCCAGAAGAACAAGCGTGACATCACCACCGGTGAGGAGATCGCTCAGGTTGCTACTATCTCCGCCAACGGTGACACCCACATCGGTAAGCTGATTTCCACCGCCATGGAGCGTGTCGGCAAGGAGGGCGTCATCACTGTCAAGGAGGGCAAGACCATTGAAGATGAGCTCGAGGTCACCGAGGGTATGCGCTTCGACCGTGGATACACCTCCCCCTACTTCATCACCGATGCCAAGTCTCAGAAGGTTGAGTTCGAGAAGCCCCTGATTCTGCTGTCTGAGAAGAAGATCTCCGCCGTTCAGGACATCATCCCCGCCCTCGAGGCCTCCACCACCCTCCGCCGCCCCCTGGTCATCATCGCCGAGGACATTGAGGGTGAGGCTCTCGCCGTCTGCATTCTGAACAAGCTCCGTGGCCAGCTGCAGGTTGCTGCTGTCAAGGCTCCTGGATTCGGTGACAACCGCAAGAGCATCCTTGGCGATCTTGCCGTCCTTACCAACGGTACCGTCTTCACTGACGAGCTCGACATCAAGCTCGAGAAGCTCACCCCCGACATGCTTGGTTCCACCGGCGCCATCACCATCACCAAGGAGGATACCATCATCCTGAACGGCGAGGGCAGCAAGGACGCCATTGCCCAGCGCTGCGAGCAGATCCGCGGTGTCATGGCGGACCCCAGCACCTCCGAATACGAGAAGGAGAAGCTCCAGGAGCGTTTGGCTAAGCTCTCTGGCGGTGTTGCCGTCATCAAGGTCGGTGGTGCCTCCGAGGTTGAGGTTGGTGAGAAGAAGGACCGTGTTGTCGACGCTCTCAACGCTACCCGCGCCGCTGTTGAGGAGGGTATCCTCCCCGGTGGTGGTACCGCCCTTCTCAAGGCCTCCGCCAACGGCCTCGACAACGTCAAGCCCGAGAACTTCGACCAGCAGCTCGGTGTCAGCATCATCAAGAACGCCATCACCCGCCCCGCTCGCACCATTGTTGAGAACGCCGGTCTCGAGGGCAGCGTCATTGTCGGCAAGCTGACCGACGAGTTCGCCAAGGACTTCAACCGCGGTTTCGACAGCTCCAAGGGCGAGTACGTCGACATGATCTCTAGCGGTATCCTTGATCCCCTCAAGGTCGTTCGCACCGCTCTGCTCGATGCCAGCGGTGTCGCCTCCCTGCTCGGTACCACCGAGGTTGCTATCGTTGAGGCTCCTGAGGAGAAGGGCCCTGCTGCTCCCGGCGGCATGGGTGGTATGGGCGGCATGGGCGGCATGGGTGGTGGCATGTTCTAAGCTGCTCCCAGCTTCCTTTGCTAGCCTGGCCTCTTCCATGATTTAAAGGTTTCTCTTCCCTTCGAGCGTGTCTTTGCATGTACGAGCATTTTCTGATATATCGGTGTTGAGAATTTTCTGTAATATTTCCTTTGTTTCTGATGTGTTACACGCCTGACTGCCCCTTCACCTACTCCGACTTCGTCCTATACCTCGATACTCATGTCTACCTCTTCGATCCGCCTCCTCTTTGATTGACTCGATCAACATCTCCACTCCATCCCATTGGGCATAAAAAGTCTTAGGGAGTCCTGTGTATCATATATGTACTTTATGCAGTCTACGACAGCTTTGGAGCTGTGGTGGTCGTGCCTCAATTAATAAAATTAATTGTTCACGGCATTCTCTCCTCAGTTTCTGTAATCTTCACGTAAGGTTTGCTACTCGGTTCTCGACGGCCTGGTCATACAGTAATGATCAAAAAAGACGCTACCATGCAGCCATAGGCGCATGCAAGCATATCTAAGCCGAGATTCCCTGCCAACTCGACTCTTTCAACTTCGCGGAGTAATCGTATCCCGGCGGCATCTTCTCATACTCTGCCACAGGTGGCAGCGGCGAAATCATCCAATCAGGATGCTGTTTCCAGATATCGTCCTCTAATTGCCTGCGATACCGCCGGGAGGACAGATAGCGATCAAAGCGGTTCTTTTCATGATGCACGTCCAAGGGCTCTTCTGAAGATCTGGACAGATGAAGAACCTTCTTAGCGGGAGCTAGGAGGAAGTCTCGAGCCATTCCGAAGAGAATTGCGTGTGCCTTGGCAACAGTCTCCCGGAGAGTTTCGTTGAAGGCTAAGAGTAGGGCGATAACGATGATAGCGATTGATGACGGCCCTAGAGGATGGCGTTAGAGGTGTCTAATTGACGTAGCTTAAGAAGACATGAATCAGGGTCCTTACCTGCAATCAGAAGCATTTGACGGAAATCGGGATTTGTCTCACTGCCGCTCCATTCTTGAACATTGATGCCGAATAAGGAGGTGAAAAAGGAGAGAGGTAGGAATCTGTGCCGGATGAGCAATTGGATGAGACGGCGAGGTATGGAGCAGATGCAGCTTACATGACAGTGAAGATTGTAAAAACCATCACGGACCGTGACTGGGTTTGGGTTACTTCTGCCTCCCACCGAGCCAGTCGTGATTCATCGACGTTGGCTTGCTTCTGCTTCAAGTCAAGAAGATTCTCTACCTGTGTCCGAAAGTCAGCGAACGGCGTCATGATGGACGTCGAAGGTGCTTACGGCTTTCTGGGCCAGGATGGTGTTCTCCCTCATTTCCTGGACTTGGTTGCGATATTCGTCGAGTCTGGCCCGCGAGGCTTCGACAAAGACCTTGCCATATCCCATGTCTTCGAAATATCTAGCCATGGTCTTGACTGTTGTGGTTTGCTGTTCGAGAAGCTTCATGATCGTTCCTAGTTCATCCATAATATCCCTCAGTTCCAGTAGCGCAGACAGGTCTTCTCGGTTCTGTCTTGCTACACGGATATCTCTTTCATCACGCTCCGCCTCAGTCATTGTTCTTCCATCGGCCGTTTTGTTGTGTTGAGCAGGATTGATGGTAAACCCGCGACTTCGGAACCGCTTAAATGACTTGGTCACCGATTCTGTCTGACTCTTGGTCAGTCAGCTGTCGAGACGTGCATGCTATGTAATCCTTACCAAGATGCTGATGGACTCTTCGAAAATTCGGAGGATCTGTAAGTCACGGTGCAAGGTCCTGTCAAGTAGAACAGTGACAGCATGTTGTACTATGAGCGCAGCAAGATCACCAGCAGTCTCGAAACGCCGTGCCAGATCTCCATTGAGTTCATTATAGATACTGTTGTGTAAGTTTGCTTGTTCATAGAGCCTACCCTCGGATGTTGTAGCCTCTTGGTTGGGGAAAAAGGTCACGACCGTTCTCTGGTCCAATATCCAAAGCCATAGCTGGTCTACCATGAGAACTTTGCCATCCTCAAACACGTCCGGAACGCTGGAATCACTTTCCAATCTCACTGAATCCCCTATCTCATCCTTGAGATTGATTGATTTCCTCGTCCTTTTCCAGAGCATTTGATCGTCATCTCGGGCAGTAGTAGATCTCAGGTTAGGGTATCCAAACTGGTCCAACGTTCTCCTGAGGTGAATTGGAGGCTCCCTTCCGAGGAACTTCCAAATCAATTTCGATTCCAAATGCCCCTTGGATATTTTGTCCGGTACGGGTCTGGATCTTCCTTGCCGCAGTCGGTCTTGCACAACTTTCCGGCGTTGTATTAGATTCCAGTACGTATCCCAATGAAGCTGGCTGCTTTTCAGCATGTGGCAAAATAAGCGCGCGCATACAGACTTACATATGGCATCTGCCAGATATGGACGATTAGCAATTATCTTATCGATTATGGCCTAAACTCACATATAGAGCGAGCCGAGGGTCATCCATGACTCCTGATGGATTGCTGGGCGAGGCATCATTCTGCCGGGAATGGATGCACGAAGGGCGTACATAACGAGCGTGAGGTTCAAAGTGACGGGCACTGATCAGCTTTGAAAACCAATTTTCCTCATTTATGAATCTGCTCAGACTGGACCTCGACGAAATACTTAGCGCCTGCCCATGGCCATAAATACAAAAACTGGAACCGCAAAAGCACTTACAAATGTGGGATTTGACGATCCGCACAGGTTTTAGCAAGTATGGAAGGTACCCAACCAGTATGTGTATAAGGAATGTGTATCCATAGAAGCTTCTCGCTTCCAGGTTCTGGTCGGTCAAATCGAGGTGCCGCTCGAGGCTTGTCTGCTCCCATCATGTTCCGTTGACCTCGTTTCGGGAGCGGCACAGGGAGGAGCCCTTTATACCTTGATGTTATATTACTGTACCTTTTCTTAGCTGAGCTGTTTTCATATATGTTGCAGAACGCTCACACACAGTAATTTTGTTTGGCTCGCTTTGGCATCGGAGCTCTCATTCGGAACCTCTCCCGCTTCACTGCCACAGCCTTCTTTCTGAGGGGTGTCTCCCTGCTGTACTACCGGCTCATCTAGCTCGTAGCTGATGTTCCCGTCGCCTAACTCGAAATAGCTTTCGGTATTGGGCTCGCTGATATGAATTCTCGGAGAAGCCATGGGCGTGAAACTGCGACTCTTTTTGAGAGAAGGACTGGGCTGGATTTGTTTGCTTTTCTCGCTCGTGACATTCACTGGCTCATCGGGTTCTGACTCTGAACGAATAGACGATCGTCGGCTGTCAAAGCTGCTCTCTGAGGAATCATCCGGAGAGACAGGCGGCATCTTGCTGGTCTTGCTTAGCCTATCTCTGAGGCACTCGGACGGGCCCCTTGACATATAATCATGGAGTGTCACTTTGGTAGACCAAAGCTTCAGAGGCGTCTCCTCGCTGACTCCAAGTGCAGGATCTTCAAAGAACCCATTGACCTGGACCATGACTTCCTTTTTGACATGGAGTGGCTCATCCACAAGAGCAGACAGTCGTACTGCCATGGAGACAGATGATTGAAGCTCCTTTATGAAGCTCATCCTTGTCGTTTTCTCTTGACCCTTGAAGTATGCTGCTCCTACATGATCAGTAGCGAGAGGTATTTCTTTCTCATGCTCCAGACCTAGTAGGCCAGATCGAATGGAGCTGATTGGTACGTGAACTTCGACAGTGGCGCTCGAGTCCGAGTCTGCGATATTGATGGCGGAATCAACCGTCTCCAGGAAGGTCCAGACTTTCAAATCCGCCGAGATCGCCTTGAACTGATTGGAAAGATGCATGAGTTGTCGATGTCGAGGCTTTAAAATTTCCCGCAGATGGTGCGGGATGCTATACTTCAATCTCATTATGCTACAAATACCTTGGGTATACTCTGGAGCGTATAGGTAGGTCGATCCCTGATGTGGAGTCGCGAAGAAAGTTATTCCGTGACAGCTCGACAGGATAGATTCCATATTCGACGATGCTTGGCTGGCGATGACCAAGGCCGCCTTAGCTACTAATCCACCTGTGCTATGGCAGATGAAGAAGATGGGTCGTCGACTCTTCTGAGCAAGAAGTCAGTACATGATTCAATCTTTAAGCACAACAAGACCTACAGTGCTAAGTCGCCGCTGGTGGAGCTGGTTCAGCAGATTATGAGCCAGCGAATTCAAGTCATCGCGAGCGCCGGGCTCTCCATGATCATATAGTAGCACCCGCGCATCTGGTATCTCCCTCGTGAGGTCAGATATAAGCCCATGGCTCGTTAGAGTCATCGCCGAACCAGGTATTCCATGGGTCAGATCCTATGGCAGGAACAGCAACGATGCTGGAAGAGATCAGTGCTTGAAGTTCTAAAGGTCAGTTTAACGGCATTTGGGGCTTACTCGACATCTGAGGAATGGACAGAATTCCTAACCGTGAATCGACCGCGTAGGTCGCCTTGGGAGATATTCTGTGCCATAACTCGGAACCCCCTCGAGTAATAGCAGTGCTCTAAGCGATATCCATCTGAAGGAACAGACGCAAGATGAAATCCATCCAGGAGGCTACCATCTAGAAAGGCACAGAAATAGCGACCATCATCTGACTCGTGTGGAAGGCTGAGGCAGGTGACATCCTACGCGCTGAACAGCCTTGTCTCTCCAGCCTCGTCAACAGGGCCCATGTGCACTTCACTAGCGGAAATTAGCGATCATCTCAGGGGCTTGGTATACTCATAGACCTTGCCCAATATCACGGACCGCATTTTAGTGTCGTTCGGACTTCTGAGGTCAAATCATCAAGAACACAGATGATCTGAGCCTTCCGACTTTCCGACGATCTCCCAGTGTCATGGTTGTCAATTTTTATGTTCGTGCCGAAATTGAACTTCTAGCTTTGACTGGCTGGAGTCCTGTTCGTTCTTTCTATGCTGTGGTGAGAACCGGTGAGCATATGCAGTAGTGTCATCGTGACCTTTCCCACACGGACGTAGTAGGCTAAAAGAACTGGTGAGTAGGACTATCTGATGCACAAAGACTGTTTACAAAGATGAGAGATGAAGATCTGTAATATAAAATTGGCTTGCTGGAACGTAAGAAAGGGTGAGTACATCTGCCGGGTGGCCGAGAAGGATAAGACACGCCTGGCGGCCTAGTTATTTCGCAATGTTATCCTTCCGCGTCGAGCAGATCGCTACTGATGAACTGAAAGTACGTTATTAAAGCACTAATTAAGCTTCATAGCAGTGGCAAATTCGATCAGTGAGGAGGAAAGATGTTTCTCGCCATATTGTTATCCAGAGAAGAAAGGTACTCCAGCCCAACTTCCCCAAAGATTATGTACACATTTTGGACTGCGATGATTTTCGCAAGAACAATTGATAAAACCCTTTCCCAAGACGCTAGAAATAAAAGTACACGTTAGATGCTCTATAAGGCGACATGCGGTGCGGTATCATCAGACATTAATCAAAAGATGAACGATCAACGAACCGAATTGCTCGCTGGATAAATAGTTATACAATGATGCTGGTACATGGGAAGGAGCCATTGATGCAAAATGATATGGAGTGGCAACGTGAGAGGCCAGAGGAGATGATTTCCGAGTGCCGTTCAACGTCCATGGTCCCGGGTAGCGGCCGATTCTCGGCGAAGGGTGGCTACCAGATGCTTGAAGCTGGTAGAGCGTATATGTGACTTCTTCCGCCCGATCTTTGTTATACGGAGTCGGAATGAGCTTCATCGGACAACTGCCGTCTCTCGTTAACGCCCCGTGCCATCTTCTTTCCAAGTTCATACGTGGAAATCATGATAGCACAAGCAGGCGCCACTTTCAAGCAACGCGCAACCCAACCGCGGAAAAGGCCTGCCATGCCTTCTTCACGGAAGATGTGCATAAGGAACTTAGGCAGAGACAGCTGCTCAGGTCGAAGTGTTTCCGGCGCTACGCTACCTCGCAAACTGCTTGGACCGCCATCACCGATGTGTCGGAACACCTGCTGGCGCGTTTTGCCAACGTCAAATGGAGTGGTAACGAATGCCGCCAGAGAACCTGACAATGCGCCAGATAGAAAGCTTTCGAGGAAAGTCGGGGTATCTAGATCATGCTGAAGAGCCGAGGACGAAGCATGAGGCAGGAGATGATGGTTGTAGGCTTCCCTGCGCAGATCGAGAAGATAGCGTTTGCATTCCTCGTATCCCCACCAGTATAATCCAGAAAATGGAACATCGCGCCACATTGTGAGTGTCAATCCGCGCCAGAGAGCCCTATAGCCATGCACCTGGGTCATTTGATGCAGATCCTCCAACGTCGCCTTGAAATGCCCTGCACCCGTACCGGGAGTGGCCTGCAGACGCGTCCGAAACATCTCAATCGGGCTGATAGCTGACGCAGCGGCGATTCTCGCGACAGAGCCGGCAACTAAGGGAGCGTAGGCGGCGGGAAAGAAACGTTTGATGGGACTTTTTTCATCGGCGCGTAACCAATCGTATCCAGCAAAGTAGATGACATTGGCAGGAATGCTCATCATCAATGTGGGACTAAGTCCACGCCAAAGTGCCAGCGTGCCTTCATTCCGGGCGATCTTGCGTAGGCCATCCAAAGTGGAGGTAAACGTCCTGCGCTGCGTTTCTTCGACTGCACAGTCCGCTACGGCCGGCGCAGAGTTTCCTATGGTCCCGGCGCCTGGACCTACCATACACACTTGAGGATCTTGACCGAACCAGAACACTTCGCGGCAACAAGCAGTTACTCCCAGATTCGGTGGCAAGTGTTTTAGCGTCTGGGTTGTGTGAGAGGTGTAGGGGGATGCATTTTGAACGGAAGATTGTGATTGAAGTCGGACACGGACGACGTCAAGAGGAGTTGCTGCACACAATCAATCAGTATCTCAGCTGCTCCAAATTTATGCAGCGAATGCAACTCACCTAGTAAAGCAGTCAGGATGCTACCGCCTGTGGCCGATACCATGCGCTGTGTGATTGAAATGTCACCATCCTTTCGCTCAGTGACTGGAGCAGGGCCTGTTACAGCCCCAGAAGTTGTCGCCATCGTTGTATCTTCACGGTTCCATGGCCATGACTCTGCCGGGCTCTGTCCTAATCCAGCGGTACTCGTCTCTTGAAATGAATGTCGACCACTAGGTGTTGCGTCGGTCGCCAAGTCTGCCATTCATTCAAAGAAAGATAGATAAAGAGATTATGGCCTGGATGAAGACTGAGGTAGCTTTCCCGTCCAGCTCTTGAAGTCCTCGAAGTAATAATAAATAACGAGCCGTCGGGGAACCTGGCGGTAGCGGGGAGGAAAATCAGCAATGCGTCAGAGAGAAAAAGAGGTCCCCGTCCCGGCTGCCGGCGGTGGCGCTTCATCCAAATCAAGTTTGGACCCGGAGATAAGCATTATTATTCTCGGGTCCCCGCGATTTTCCCTCTCTTTACTCTTTCTATGCTGCTCACATTCTTGATCTTATCGATCGATCGCTCCTCGCTTGTACAGGAAGAATGGCTTGAGATTTTATTTGCTGTTTTTATAAACGACTACGTAGCATTTGCACGGCTTCTTCCCGGCATTCTGCTGCTATATTCTCCGATTCAAAGCCAAGCATCGAGCTATCGGCGAACTACCGCTTATCAATCAAAGTGACTCCGCCGTTGGTGCTCTTTACGACATCTGATATCTATGACCATAATGGAGGACAACGCCGAGCTTGAATCGTTTCGACGCCAGTGGCGAGAGGAAGTTGCACGCCGGACACATCATAACAGGCCTAGTACTACACAACGAAAATCGTCTGTATCTTCTGCCGGCCGGCCCGGCCACTTCCCTCCTGCCGGACATGCGGCCTCGGAACGTAAAGAGGAGGAAGACAACGGAGAAGGGCTAACAGCGTTCGACCAGGGTGAGATCGCCCATGGTGTCGAACAGTTGAGCTTAGGAAGGGTAGATGAGGATGCTCTCCTCTCTCAGATACCGCGAAGGGAACCTAGATCCGCCCTGGAACACTTTGAACGAGCGGTAGAGAAAGAAGCGGAGGGCAATTTGGGGGACAGCTTGCATCATTATCGCAAGGCATACCGGGTAAGAATTCTGATACTTTTTTGGAGTATAAATAGAGTAACTAACTCGTTTATTTGTTCTCTAGTTAGATTCCGCGGTCGACAGGACATACCGTAACAAGCATTTTGCTGCTGCTTGGAAGAAATCCACACATGGTGCCCCAAAAACCTCAATAGCGACTGGCGCTCCGGCAAGTGGCCAAGATGCCCAAGATGAGCCAGTGGTACTACCTACTCCCGAGCTTATTGCCTCTTTCGCCCATCTGCCAATTCCTCGAGCTGAGCCTGAAATTGAAGGTACACCTCCGCCACCATGCCCTATTGCGAGCATTCCGTCCGAGGTCCTACTAGTAATCCTTCGCCATGTCGCGTTGATGGACCCCGCATCGTTTTGTCGGATGGCATTGGTCTGCAAGCGCCTGGCATATCATTTCGCCCATGAACAACACATCTGGAAACGACTTTGTCAGGGTTCCGAGTTTGGCTTTAAGTCGATGCATTACTCATTTGTTTGTGACATCGATGGCAATCCTGAGTATACTATGGGGCAACGCTATACGCCGTTTCCATTCTCAGTACCCGTGCAGATTCCTAAGCCATTATCCTCGTGGAGTCAGGTCTTCCAGATGTTCCCCCGAATTCGTTTCACGGGTGTATACCTAAGCACCGTCAATTATACTCGCCCGGGTGCCGCATCCTCATACCACAATATATCGTGGGACAGCCCCATACATATCGTCACCTATTATCGATACTTACGGTTCTACCCGGATGGTTCAGTCATTTCTATACTGACAACGGCGGAGCCGTTGGATGTCGTTCCTCACATCAGTAAGGAGAATATGAAAGCTGCACGCGCAACACTCTCGCATCGGCACCATCAACGTAATACGTCTGAGCCGGGTATCACTTTAGCTGGAGCCGCAGAACCGATACCCCCAGTCGCCATGTCCGCTTTGAAGGAAGCTCGTCGAGGACGCTGGCATCTGGTTAAGCCCCTTGCCGCTTCTGAATCTGAAGACGACAACCGCGTACCGTCGATTTCCGACTGCCCGCCCTTCCCAGTCAAGACATTGGACACTCCTGCCGTGGATCCCAGAGATGTCGTCATTGAAACTGAAGGCGTCGGTCCAAAGTACACGTACACAATGCATCTGTCCCTCCGGTCGTCCTCTGGAGGGTCGAAGCCTGCCAACCCCGCAGCCACACCAGCCAACACATCGAAAAATACGAAGCTTGTGTGGAAGGGATTCTGGAGTTACAACCAGCTGACCGACGACTGGGCTGAGTTTGGACTTCGCAATGATCGAGCATTCGTGTTCCGAAGGGTTCGAGGTTGGGGTATGTGAGCATACTCGTCGATGTTATGATTGCATGAAGATATATAGTACAGGTTTTGTGTCTCGGCTTGGTATAGAAGAATCTGGGGCTTTATTCGGGATCTGATCGATACCATAAACGGAGTATATAGGTATATAAGGGCGGATTATCTTGAGCAAATATCTAGAAAGGCGTCGGTTGACGACTCGACTTTGTTTCGGTTGATAAAATGAAATATAGAGTACCTGGTACTGAGTAGATCAAACAAACGAACGAATAACTGGCAGACGCCAAGCTGCTTATCGATAAGGCTCTCCCGCAGAAAAAAATTCGGGGGACTCCACCGATCACCTCCAAGCACGGGATTTGTTTGATCATTAATTAGACTGCGATTGTTGTGCATGTTCTCTATAGAGAGGTACTCAGTTAATCATTAATTTTTTTCCTTGCCAGATAAAGAGGTCGCATACGAGACTCCACGATGCCCGAAAGGGTACGTATCGTTTTTGACGACGCGGACGATGTCCGCGTCCCTAAAAAGGTCCCTGAGGCCGAACAAATTCAAGGCTCCGAACCAGTCAAACGAAAAGACCAGTCTACAGACCAGCAGAAGAAGAAAAGCAAGAAGCGAAAGATCGAGGGCCTACAGATACACGAACGCAAGAATCCCCACCGTCAAGCGAAACGCAGGCCGATCCAGTCTCACGCGAGACCAACGAGAAAGATGCGGTCAACGGCGTCGCAAATGGCACATCCGACCACCCCAAGAACAAGAAGCACAAGACGAAGAACCAAGCGCCCCAAGGAACGAGGCATAATTTCACCTCTCTGAGAGAAAAGGCCAAGGCACTGTACGAAACCCGCAAGAACCTCCCCATCTTCCCTCACGGCGATGAGATCCGGCAGAAGCTGCGCGCGAACGATGTGATGCTACTGGTGGGTGAAACGGGTAGCGGAAAGAGTACACAGATTCCTCAGTTCTTGGTCGATGAGCGATGGTGCCGTCCGACCAAGGCGACGGTTACTCAGGATGATGGGTCTAAAAAGGAACTGACGGTTGGAGGGTGTATTGCCATTACACAGCCGAGACGGGTGGCTGCCATCTCGCTGGCGAGACGTGTAGCTGAGGAAATGGGGACGCCGTTGGGGTCTTCGTCGCCGGCGAGTAAAGTGGGTTACTCGGTGCGGTTTGATACGTCTACGTCGCCAAGCACACGAATCAAGTTCCTGACGGAGGGAATGCTCCTTCAGGAGATGCTGCATGATCCGTCGTTGACAAATTACAGTGCGATTGTGGTTGATGAAGTGCACGAACGTGGTGTCAATGTTGATCTGGTGCTGGGGTTCTTGAGAAACTTGGTTTCGGGTAAAAAGGAAGGGCGAGGTGGTGTGCCTCTGAAGGTCGTGGTCATGAGTGCCACGGCTGATATGGAGAGTCTGATGGATTTCTTCAAGGGGGGTCTACAGGCACAAGGAGGTACTAAGGCAATCAACGGGGACAGTGATCAGCAGGGTTCTTCACAAGCGAATGGCGAGGAGGACAAGGTTTCTGTTTGCCATATCAAAGGTCGCCAGTTTCCAGTCAAAACGATCTACTCCCCGGCTCCTGTGCATGATTTTGTGGATGCAGCTCTGAAGGTGATCTTTCAGATTCATTATAAGGAGCCGATGCCGGGGGATATCCTTGTTTTCCTGACAGGCCAGGAAACGGTCGAAGCTTTGGAGCATCTGGTCAACGAGTATGCGACTGGAATGGACCCTGCGTTGCCCAAGGTCCAAGTACTTCCTTTATTTGCGGCTCTCCCTCAGGTCGCTCAACAACGGGTGTTTCTTCCCGCGCCTCCTCGCACCCGCAAAGTCATCCTTGCAACCAACATTGCAGAGACCTCCGTGACTGTCTCCGGTGTCCGATTTGTTGTGGACTGTGGCAAAGCAAAGATCAAACAATTCCGTACTCGCTTGGGGCTGGATTCCCTTTTGGTCAAGCCGATTTCCAAATCCGCCGCCATTCAGCGAAAAGGTCGTGCCGGTAGAGAAGCGCCGGGACAATGTTACAGACTTTACACAGAAAAGGACTATCTAGCGCTTGATGAGACCAATACACCAGAGATTCTCAGATGCGATCTGAGTCAAGCTTTGCTCAACCTGAAAGCCCGCGGTGTTGACGACGTCATGGGTTTCCCGTTTCTGACGCGACCTCCACGCGAGTCGTTGGAGAAAGCGCTGCTTCAACTGCTAAGCATCGACGCTCTGGAGGAATCCGGGAAAATCAGCTCCATTGGGTTGCACATCGCCAAGCTGCCTCTTACGCCGACCCTCGGGCGTGTCCTATTAGCAGCAGCAGAACACGGAGAAGGATGTCTTTTGGATGTGATTGACATCATCTCTTGCCTCAGTGTGGAGAACATCTTCCTGAACACAACATCGGAAGAAAAGAAGGAAGAGGCAGAGAAAGCGCGCCGAGACTTGTATCGGAGAGAGGGAGATCACCTCACCATGCTTGCCACTGTGCAAGCGTACGCAGCGGAGAATACGGATCGAAAGGCCTGGGCCGAACGGCACATGGTGTCTCATCGAGCCATGCAGTCAGTGATGGTATGTTGTCATTATTCGTCTCCGTCTAACGCTCTTTTGACTAACTACTCTGACTATCACAGGATGTCCGCAAGCAACTCACCGCACAATGCCGACAAGCAAAGCTCCTTCCCAGCGCCAGTGACTCTCGCAACGGCTCTAACAACTCGGCCACTCGCGAACCCTCACCTGTGCTCATTCTCCAGAGTTTCCTCCGCGGGTTTTCCACCAACACGGCCCGCCTCGTCCCGGATGGCAGCTATCGGACCGTTGTCGGGAATCAGACGGTGGCCATCCACCCGTCGAGCGTCTTGTTTGGCAAGAAAGTGGAGGCTATCATGTATAACGAGTTTGTGTTTACGAATCGCAGTTATGCACGGGGGGTGAGTGCGGTGCAGATGGATTGGGTTGGGGACGCGTTGACGGGAGCATTATGATCATGTTGTCTGATGGATCTTGGCCTTAAGATATGTATATACCTGACGATAGAATATACCCACCTGCATTACAGACCACAGAAAGTACGGAGTACCCCGTATCTATTCCGTGCTAAACTCAGGTGTAGGAAATTGTTACCCCTCGCAATGCAGCGTCGATAACCTTTCGACCTTCTCTTTGGCACATCGCTGATACCCCTCTTGCCACAGACTTGCAGCGATAAACTAGCTAGTGACAAGTCGGCGACGAATAAATGACATGTCAGTGAGATCGGCCAATGGATGGGATGATCGCCATTTAGCCTGTTTGAGGATCAGGAGTTTAGTATTTGCTGTTCCTTGCTCCTCACTCGAAAAGACAGCTGTATGGTACGGTCCTCAGGCACCATGTCTGATTTGGTTATCAGGCAGTAACACTTGGAAAGTAACTAACATCGTCCATGAGCGACATCATTGGCGGTGGTGGTGTCGTTATCTTTAGGAGGATGACCTTATTGATTACCTCGTACTCCGTTGGATTTCAGTGTACTATTTGGCAAGTACTGGAGTGATGTTGTCAGCTGAGCTGATGATGGATGGATATGGTTGAGTTCAGCACTGGAGACTCTTGTACATATATTTTCCCCCTGAGGCTGGTAAATGTGATGAGTTGAAAGAACGTCTCACTGTAAATAGTCAATATTAAAGGAAAAACAAACACTATTAGGTCACTATATGGCATATCTATAATCTTAAACCAGGTACGGAGTAAACTCTGGCTATCTACATGTCTTGTGACTTGAACTACGTACCTGTTGTTACTGTCATGACGGTGGTGTTTGACCTCCCCATCCTTGCATCATTTCCGGAGTTCTCCCCCAACAGTCGCGTTGTCACTAGGATGTTTCTGTCTTCTCCATTGTCCATCATTATCAGATTATAAATTACTCTTCTTTTTTGTATCAATATATTATTTCTTTCCTCTGGTTATCTATTTGACATCTTTATTCTCGCATCAAATCCACATCCCCAACTGGTCTGGATCCACAGCCTCGAAATCCCACCAGTGACGGCTGATCTACTCCCCTCCACCGCGATCATCACCCATCATCATCATTCCACCATCACTACAAGTCCGGCCAGGAACCTGACACTTCTATCTGTCTGTCTATCGACTTGTTTTCTTTTTCTTGTTTCACCCCTTTGCTCTCTTACATTTCTTCATTCATATATGACTCTATTCCACTGTTTCCTTTCTCACAACTACCCACTTTCTGAATACTGACCAACACTTGGTCACGGCCTACCTTATCTACGCACTCCACGCGGGGAGAATCCACCCTATCTTATCTACTGTGTAGATCGGAGATTAAGCATCCATCACTCATGGCCTTTCGTCTACCCCCTCAAGTCGCCCGCCGTCGCAATTCCTATTCAACTCAACAAGTTCCTGACCTTGATATTCCTTCTCCCGTCTCTCAACTCTTCGAGAGCGAATCCACGCAATGGGTACTCTTCTCCCCGCCCCAAGCCTCCACCGCCCGCACTCACACGACCTCCACGGAACGCACACCTCGAACAACTGGAGCGTCCCGCTTAAGTGATTTTGGCTCCTTTGGCACAGCGACCCGTTCCATACTTGGTTTCGAGGGTGATGCAACGGACGGCGATGTTGAAGAGCCCCTGGATGAAGATGGAACGGAATTAGACAGCTTAGACGATGGCCTGCACGCTTTCCGGGCACCGTCCGTCACTCAGGAATCTACATCAAGGCTGAACCAGTCCACCCCAGCGGTACTGCCAGCTCATGATGGGCTGGGGAGTTTCCATGCATCCAGTCAACCCGTGCAGGAGCAGTTGTGGCAGCATGAGCAGTTTAATCCCCGCCGGCGGGGGGACGTGCGTCTGAGACGTCGTTCGAGTGTGCAGCGTCAGCTAGACTCGATAGAGGATCGGGAGCAGGTTGATATGGAGCATGAACGCTGGCAACGTATTGAGAAGTGGAGAATGGACCAGAGCCGGGCGCTCTTGCAGGAGATTGAGAGGGAAACACGACGGCGGCGACGCAATAGCCGCGTCAGTGTGCAGACCGACCAGGTGGCTTCCCAACCCATCGTCTCACACTCACCTGATGGTGTCCTGGAGACGCCCAAGGAAGATCCCTTGCAGCCGCAACAGCAGACTGAGCAGGACGAGTCTTTCTGGCGACGCATCACCCGCAAGGTGATTCGGGACCTGATTGGCATCGACGACTCTCTGCTTTCTGTCATTTTTGGCGAGTCGTTGCCAGATATGGGGTCGGAGGACAATAAGTCTGCAGGAACAGACAACACTCTCAATCTGAGCGAGACACTTCGGGAGTTGGACTCCATGCCGGAGGAGCAAGGTCTCTGGCAGAGCAAATTACTTCAGCGGATCGCGCGCGAGTTGGGCATCTTGGTCCACCATCTTTGCGAACACCCCGGCGCCTTTACTACATATCTCAACGTCACGAATGAGATACCCAACGAGTATGCAGGCATACCACTTGGTCGTCTAGCAGAAGAAAACGACGCGGCACCGCAGAGTGCATCTGCCGAACCTGCCCTTCACACCATGATGAGCAGCCAGGAGTCGATAATGTCACCGCAATTTTCGCCTACGATGCGCGATCCTACCGGCAGAGAGCATGCTGCACACTGGGGCATTGAGGAGGAAGAGGATGCAAACCGCGAACCAATCCCCGAGTCTGCACGCCTCCAGCAAGAAAAGGAGTACTGGGAACGCGAGCTGGACGTGATGATGGTTTTCCGCTATCTTCGCAATCGCTTCGGCCGACGAGGGAGCAACGCCGACAGCACCCATGCGTCCTCGCGCCGTCACCCACAGGATGCGTCCCGCCGCGCGGCGATCATCCGCCAGCACCATCCCCTCGTTGCACGGGCTCATTCCCGCTCTCAAGCCCAGCTTCGACGTCAGTCTGGGCCCACGGGCATTACATCGCCGTTGCTCCGTCAACACCTTCACCGACCCAGCTCGAGCTGCGCAAGCCAGACGAAACTCTCTGCTCTCTCCAGTCGGCGAACACTCACCAGCTCCAGCCGGAATTACTGGGACATTGGCGGAAGCATCGACAGTGCGAGCGCCATCGCACCCCCTGTCGCGGCCGGTGTCGGGCTCTGGGGCGATGTCTGATCTATTTCCAGTCATCATCCCCACGTGGGATACGCGCATCGATCTATATAAGCCATATTTTGGTGCTGATCTAATCCAAGCGCTGTTTGCAATTGTCACAAATATATATACATCCAACCCACCCTTGTCAACTCATCTTAGGATCATAGTGTTTCATTCAATCACCTGTCTTGGGTATGGTGCTTGGGTTCTTGTTCATTTCTGCATCTTTATTTGGCTCCGTGGCGCAGACAGAGGTGAGGGTGTATCTTGTCTTAGGGGTAACTATTAAGACGGTGTACGGTAGAAGGGGTGGCGGGAATACGACGGCGATTGTGTTGCGTCTGTTTACATTGGCACTATGCTGTCATGTCGATTTACTCAGGTTAATCTTATTGGAATGATGGCATCTTGGACAACCTGTTCTACATTGCTGTATATCGTAACGGACTTCGATGATGGGTAGATATCTCCTGAGAAATCTGACATGGAATAGTTTACTACTGTACTGCGTACCAAATAAGCAGGTATCAGGAATGAGACATCAGCATGCTATCATAATCTCGTGTGGTCCATTTTTCGCTACCGCTACCGCTACAGTCGAATCGAGTAGATCGAGGATGAAAACAAGCCGAGGAAATTCCATGATTAATCAACTCCGCCGTACGTGAGAGCACCACTAAATGACATCAAATCCTTTCCAGGATGGGGGGGTAACATGAAAACGGGGAACTGAAAATTGGTTGTCATTTTTTCATCTCTTTTCTCTAACGCTACTGGGAAACCATCTAAGCCTGAGACAGGTTCTCGTAGGCGTTAGGGAAGCGCTTCATGTTCTCCTCGATCAGACCGTGGCCACGCAGGAACTGGACGTAGGCACCGTCCTGCTTGAGCTTGCCCTCGTTGCGGAGCTGGATGTAGTCCTCACGGCGGACGGGGGTGAAGCCCCAGTTCTTGGAGACGATGATCTTTTGGCGACCGGGGAACTTGTACTGGGCACGGCGCAGAGCCTCGATGGCGGCGGCGCGGTTGGAGTCACGGGTGCGGACGGACAGGATGATCTGGCCGATGTTCACACGGGCAACGGTACCCTGGGGCTTACCGAAGGCACCACGCATACCAGTCTGGAGACGATCGGCTCCGGCGCAGGACAACATCTTGTTGATACGGATGACGTGGAAGGGGTGCACACGCACACGCATGTGGAAACCTTCCTTACCGGTGATCTTGACGAGGTACCTATTTGATCAATGATTAGCGGACTGAACTGGGTGTGTAGTGATGCTGCTGAGGGTGCGGAGCTGATGGTGGATCAACGTACTTGTTGGCACAGATACGGGCGGCTTCGAGGGCCTCGGAGGACAGCTGTTCGTACTCGTTGGAGACCATGTGCACGCACAGAGGGAAGTCGTCGACGTTGGCCTTCTTACGTCCCAGATCGAAGATACGGATCTTGGGGTCGGGAACACCACGGTTGAACCGGGACTTAGGGTAGGGCTATGTTCAACGCATCCTGTCAGTAATCATCCTCATCACAGCACATATCAAAGTAATAGATCCATCCAGGCCCCAATAAAATCGCGACGACATAAATTCCATCTCTCCATGCCTTCGCCTGTCAAAACAGGTGTTGGCGTTGTTGCTCTCCCCACAAGCGAGCTTCCCGATCCAAAATCCACAGAACACGAAAAACTCCCACGAGAGATCAGATCCCATCAAGCGATCGCACGCACCTTGTTCTTGCAGTAGCGGTAACATCTCGCGGGACGGCGGGCCATTGTGACTGCTGGAAATGGGCTGGATGCACTTCCTGCGAACGGTGAGGTTGTCGAAAAAGGTGGTGTCGGGAGTTCAAAAGGGAAGGGGGAATTCTTCGCCTGCGGGCAAGTCTCGACGTTGATTTCCAAGCAACTCCCGCTAACGAGTGGCAAAGCCCTAAACCCTACACTCTCCACCAATCACGTCCCGTCCTCGCCATGACGCATTTGTCAGATCGGAGGCTTTCTAACATGATCATGTTGCTGCCCTTTAATCCGAATGGCTATGAAGAGATTATAAATGCCTCTTTGACGATAAAAATCTCAAGTGCTTACTCTATGAGTCAAGCTCTCTTACTGCAGAGCCTGACACTTGAAAAGTAGAACTGAAAAAAACAAGGTATTGCATCATACTTCCGTTGCTTCTACACTACGCCCAAGTACTATCGCTCCAGATAGGTGTGGACCTTCTTTCATTCATTCTGTCATTATCTAAGTGGTGCTTTGTGATATCTCAAAACACCCGGACGTATAGACATAACAAGAACCTAATGTTCGAGGCAATACACCTACTGGCTGCTGAGGATGTCGGAGTCACCAGCATCCAGGATGGCCATGGTGCTGCAGCGGAAGAGCTTACCGCAAGCGGTACCGAGCTCAATCTGTAGTACGGAGATATGTCAGCCATTGTCATTTACCCTCCAAAGCCCAGATATACGGCTTCTTCTCAGGGCTGCTCCCGCGCCGCCTTCCCTACATCGGAGAAGTACCAGCGTCGGGGCATAGCAGTGAAAACCATTGCAGAAACACTTGTGACTTACGTTGTTGCCAGAGAAGTGGTGGACGGGAGTCTTGGCCAGCATGGCGTAGTACTCGAGCTCACTCTTGCGGAGAGGAGGAGCGTTGGCAGCAATGAGGACCAGCTTGGCCTTGCCGGAACGCAGGGTCTTGATGGTGGACTTGTAGCCAAGGGTGACTGTAGGGGCAAGAATGATCAGTGATATGGTCTCCCGATGTCAATTTTGATTGCAATATCACACACCCTTTCCAGACTTCATCACCAGAGCCAGACGGCTGGCGATGGTGTCACCGGACTTCTTGCTCTTGGGGGCCATCGTTACGCTGTTTGTTCGAGTCGAACGAAACTTTTTGATTTGACTGAAGGGTGGTTGGAAAAGTGCGCTCCGGCCGAAGTTTTCGAGGTTGGGATGCGATCAAGAAGCAATTTCCAGATTGATTTTCATGATAATTTTCTTGTGGGTTTGCCCTAGTGCCGGCCGGAGCAGAGATCTTCCGTGCCGCCAGAAGCTGCTGAGTAACCCCGCGGTTTTCCGTACAGGGGGCTGAAATCCAGTTACAGGTATCTTTCCGTTATCGCATCCAACCATCTGATGTGCATCCTATGGTGATGGCACTAGGTAAGGTAGTCCCTGGTCCCTTTATTCTATTATTACAGGCGCGTTCAGTTGGGACTCCTCGCGCATGAGCTCTTACCGAGTTTCTAGCATCTGAGAGTTGAAACCGAACTTGAAGGATTCAGAAGCAAAGAGGTAAATATCAAAGTTGGAGTGGCAGGGAAACACTACTTCGGATGATAACCATTTTAGGCTGACAGATGGCCACCTAGATTTTGAACGCACGCAGCAAGGAACTGCCTATGAAATCAAAGTACGGAGTACGAAGGATGCTGTGCTATCTTTATCTTCTTTCCAAAGTAAACTTTCCAACATCGTAAAGTTCGTGTTGGCCCCCAGGTTAAGGGGCCAGGTTGACCCGTATTCTGCCTTCAAGCCCCCGTATTACAGTATGGAGCCGTTGGCAGTACGGAGTATCCAGAGATTAAGGTAGTCGTCGGATAGTTAAAACATGCGTTGGTCTCATGTTGGTTAGTTTTAATCCGTACTTAGTTAGCCGTTAGGCGCTGGCTGCTGTTGGTAGGGGAACCCAACACGCAGCTGCAACGGATAGGACGATCGCTTGTATTATTGCCGTTTCCATACAAATAATTGAGTCGTCCGCTCTACTTTTCCATCTTCAACCCCCAGATTTTCTCCATTCTGAATTCCTGCTGCGTTGATCCCTAACGTAGTACTTCTGACTTCGGTTCTTCTTCGATTTTATCCTCCTTGATTCTGGTTTGTGCCGAATCTCTAGGTGGGTGGCCAGACGTCGCCAGCCATTCGAAAGTTCTCCCACTACCTAGGTGTCCACCGTGTTTTGACCGCTACTATATACGCTTATTCCTTTAAATTGATCGCTAATTTCCGGCCGTTTCATCGTCGCTTCTCCTGGCCTGGAACTAGTTGTCCTTTCAGCTGGGTTTATTCAGACATTATTTTCCTACGTCTATCGTACAAATCACTTTCAAACTTGACTGTTCGCATTATCGGTGAATATGTCCGCTAACCCCCGCAAACCTGGGACTCCAGGCAGTGGGAGCAAAACCGCCACTACGGACAATAACACAGTCAACGGAACTCCGTCGCGAGTTCATACTCGATCCCCAAGTGCTTCTACGAACGGTCTATCCAGATCGCCTTCCCTCCGTGGCTCCGCTCCTGTCTCTGCGCGCGCTGCAGCCCGGAAACCTGGTCGGTCCAACCTCAGCATGTCCAATGTACCCCAGGTGGCGGCCGATTCGTCCGAGGAAGAGGCCCGCGCCCAGAATGCAGCTCTGATCGAAGAGTTGAAGGAGCAGTTGCAGAAAGCTGAGAGTGCATCAGAGCAGTATCGCAAGCAACTTGGTGTCTTGCAAATGCGGCTCGACGAAGCCATCAGCGAGCAGAGCAAGTTGGAGGACCAGGCTCATGAGAAGGACAGCAAGATTGAAGCTCTCAACAGTGAAATCAGAGACCACATTCGCCAAATCCGAGACCTAGAACAGGCACACGAGTTGGAACGGAATGCCATGCTGCAGGAGAAGGAGCAGTACCTGAGCCGGGAGGAAGAAATGCAGGCGACCATCCAGCGCTTGAAAGACACGTTGGCTCAGAAGGAGATACGAATGAACGCTGATAACGAGAAGAATATTTCCCGTTCTTGTGAGTAATTTATCTCATCTTCTCCCCCCTCCGCTCTCAAGAGTCGGCACTGACACGTCATTACAGCCAGTTTCCTGAATCGGTCCTCACCGGAGGTGGAAGGGCAGTTCGCGCCTTCATCTCAGATCGAGCGGAGCCCATCGCGAAATAATTCGAAGCTGCTTTTGCAGAAGGACAAACTGATTGAGTCTCTCCGTCTCGAATTGGCTGAGTCCCAAATCAAGCTTGTGGAGATGGAGAACAAAGGCGGCGGCCGGCAACGCGAATTGGAGAAGGAGCTCCTGGAAGCCCGGATGGCTAATGCTCGTCTGATGGAGGACAACGAGAGTTATCAACTGCTCTTGAGCGAACGAACATTGAATGGGGACTTCACCAAAGGTGATTTCATGAGGGAGGCCCACCCCGATTATGATGAGGGGCAGGAACCCAGCAATGGATTGGGCTCTCTGGCTGACGAGCTCGAGTCAGTGGATGCCAAAGCGGAAACCGACAATACCCGTAAACTCGAAACGGAGATCAAGGTGCTCAAGGACCAGAACAAGGCCTTGACCCTGTACATTGAGCGCATTATTAGTCGTCTCCTGCAACATGACGGTTTCGAAACCATCTTGGACAAGAACGAAAACGAACCTCCAACTACTGCAAAGCAGGCATCTTCAGTAACTGACAAGGACCTGCCCCCGACACCTCCAGAGAAGGATGACGCATCTTCCCAGACTTTTCTGCAAAGAGCCAAGTCAGTTGTCGCCGGCCAGCCCAACCGTTCTCAGCATAGATCTCGCCCGTCTACTTTCATGCCACCCCCAACGAGTGTCCCGACAGCTCACGAAAACCCCGAAACAGCGCCCAGCATTCCCATCAATCGAGCACAGCGTGGCCATCGCCGCACTCGATCAGATCAGGCAGATGTTGCAGCAGCAACTGTTGTCGGCCAGATGTATCCGGGACGCAACTCTGGTGGGCCTATCAGCCCGACCCTCATGGGTCCCGGTTCTCGTCAGAGTGTCTTTTCAGGGACAGGCTATATGTCAAGCATGAGCACCCGTGCGCCGTCTCTCTCCAGCCAGCCAGAGCGGGGTCGGATGAGTAGCTCGAACAGCGTTACCAGTGACCCGCATGATACGGCTTCCACTGGGGCGACCTCCAATTCACCACGCTCCAGCACCGGCATGACAAACTACACTGGAGCAGTCATGACTCAGAATAAACTACGCCCACTACGACTGGTCAGTGAGACAAAGGCGGCGGAGGACGAGGAGGCAGCTCGGAAAAAAGCGAACCGGGGAAGCTGGATCTCGTGGTTCAACCGTCCGAACACCGGTGACGCAGCACAACAGCAAACATGAGCTGGACTTGCATTCCTGACCGGCGACTCTCTGTTATGACTTCTTTTGCACTGACTCTTTTACTTTGGTTGTCTCATATCTCCGCTTCTGTGTAATATTGTTGTTCTCTTCTGCTTCCCATATGTCGCCCTGTTGAGGAATACCCTATCTTTATGATGACTACCATGACGTTTGAAGTTGACTGAAGATTGCTTCGTGGAGCACCGTGTGCCGCTCCTACTAACGATACCAGGAGGGCAATTTTGTTCTCGATTCTGGCTGTGATAGCCACTCTCAGGATTCTTCTTGTCTTGGATGATTCCTTTGCAATCGTTGACGGCCATTACTCATCGGAATATATCCATGAGACTCTATCTTTTATGATCCACTGTCCTTCATGAACATATGACTGATATATTAGTTTCAACATAGAATATTTGATAATATTTTGCTTATTATTCATTAGTGATTTGTGGATTCAAGCAGACTTGTTTGCGCAGCTACAGGTCCGGTTCAGTACCGTTAATATCATGATATACAGTAAACTCATACATTTTCCCATCTAGATCCATTTTTTCCCTGAGACATGTCTCCTTATTCTTCAACTGTTGCTGGTCGACTCACCACCCTCATTGACATTTGACATAGTCCGGAATAATGTTGCGGCGGAATCCGAATTGCGGACAGCTTGACAGTACTCCGTAAACAGCAATTCATTTTGGACTTCGAGACCAGGCGATATCTGCTACATTTAACAGAACTCTCTTCCCGAAAAGCATCGCCCATCATGGTCGGCTCGCTGTCTCTCTTCTCGGTCAATGCCGTCCTGCTCATGTCGGCTGACGATGGATCTCGCATCTTCGCCAAATACTACTCCCCGCCTCATCCCCCAGCTGGTGCTGCCCCCAATTCAACAGATTACCCCGGCGCCAACCCCTACCCGACGCTGAAGGATCAAAAGGCCTTCGAGCAGGGTCTCCTCGAGAAGACCAACAAACAGACCAGTGATGTGATCCTCTACGACAACCGGGTGGTTGTCTTCAAGATGGAAAGTGACGTTATGATCTACGTGGTCGGAGGCGCCGACGAGAATGAGGTTTTGCTGTACAATGTTGTTCTATCATTGCGGGATGCTCTGGGCATTCTGTTCAAGTACGATTCTCGGCTGTTTTGGCAGTAACATGCTCAATTGGATTGTTGGAGCTGACTTTTGGTCTTTCAGGGGCGCCACCGATAAACGCACAATCGTCGAGAACTACGACCTGGTCGCGCTTGCTATTGACGAAATAATTGATGACGGTATCATTCTCGAGACGGACCCTGTCATGGTTGCTTCGCGTGTCAGCCGTGCCCCAGCACCGGATGCACCGAACCTGAAGAGCATCGACCTGTCGGAGCAAGGTCTCCTCAATGCTTGGGAACTGGGAAAGAGGCGTTTGGCGGAGGGATTAAGGCAGATGTAATTGCATCGTTTTGTCTGGTTGTTATAATATGATGGGCGTGCAGTTGTTTGTTCCTTGATTCTTTGCTTCCTGGCTGGTCCTGGCGTGGTTTTGTGCGCGCACTTGTTGCATTATGACTTGTTCTTACTCTCTTCTATTCTCGCCTCGGGCTAGCGACTTATGCAGATCTGAGGACTCGATAGAGATACTCCATTTTGTTACATGGCGGGGAAAGTGGCCTAGACCTGATGAATTCTCGATTGGACGAGTGTGCTGGCGATGCTCTGTGACCATCACCGGCGGCACTAAGTGCCTTTAGTGTTTACATTTATAGAAAACTCATCAGTATGTCAAAGGAGGATTTGAGATGAAGTCTCCAAATTACGGCAGACAAAAATCGGTAACACTGGCCAAGCTGCGAAAGTGATCGGTTTACTGTGCCCCGCATACGTCACGTCTTTCCACACATTTTCGCAGAAGTTCCATGTAAAACATCTTCACCAGAATATCAATTTTACCAGGAGTCCCTGGTCAACAGCTTAGGAAAATGAAGCAACGGTTCTCATCCCTGGACGTCAAGGTACGTCTGTCCCAGCTCAAACTTCCATGCGAAAGTTGCAGAACCTCACGCGACGACAGGTCATTTGCCAGGAACTCGCCTCGGAGCTGGTCAACCTTCGAGTCTCAAACATTTACGACCTTTCCTCGGTATGTCAGGTCGATTTGAACGGATAATTAGATGACCGGACTATACTGATCCCCTCGCTAGAGAATATTTCTATTCAAGCTCGCCAAACCCGACCATCGCAAGCAACTCGTCGTTGACTCAGGCTTCCGCTGCCATGTCACCCAATACTCGCGCGCAACGGCAACCGCCCCCTCCCCATTCGTGACTCGCCTGCGCAAGTTCCTCAAGTCGCGGAGACTCACATCGATCGAGCAGATCGGCACCGACCGCGTCATCGACTTCTCCTTCAGCGATGGCATGTACCACATGTTCCTCGAGTTCTTCGCCGGCGGCAACATCATCATCACTGATCGCGAGTACAACATTCTCACGCTCTTCCGTCAGGTTCCTGCCGGAGTGGGCGAGGAGGAGATGAGAGTTGGGCTCAAGTACACGGTCACGAACAAGCAGAATTACCACGGTGTGCCTGAGATCACGCTGGACCGGATCAAGGAGACGCTGGAGAAAGCGAAAGAGGCTTCCGCGCAGGAAGGGACAGCGCCGAAGAAATCGAAGAAGAAAAATGTCGATATCTTGCGGAAGGCTTTGTCGCAGGGATTCCCGGAGTATCCTCCTCTGTTACTCGATCATGCTTTCGCGGTCAAGGAGGTCGACCCCGCAACCCCGCTGGAGAAGGTTTTGGGGGATGAGGCTCTCATGGAGCAGGTCAATGGTGTGTTGAAGGAGGCCCAGAGTGTGACGATCCAACTCTCGGCGAAGGAAGATCATCCGGGTTATATCGTCGCGAAAGAAGATAAACGTCCAACTGCTGAGTTTACTGCTGATACTGGGGAACCGTCACATAAGGCAGGGCTTTTGTACGAAGACTTCCATCCTTTCAGACCTCGCCAGTTTGAAGGGAAACCGGAGATCAAAATTCTCGAATTCAGCACTTTCAACGCTACGGTTGACGAGTACTTCTCCTCGCTGGAGACTCAGAAACTGGAATCGCGACTCACAGAACGCGAGGAGGCTGCGAAGAGGAAACTCGATGCTGTCAGGCAGGAGCATGAGAAGCGGCTCGGTGCCCTAAAAGTGGCACAGGAAATACATGTTCGTAAAGCGGCTGCGATCGAGGACAACGTCTACCGGGTGCAGGAGGCAATGGATGCTGTTAATGGGCTGATTGCTCAAGGCATGGATTGGGTAGAGATCGCCCGTCTGATCGAGATGGAGCAGGGCCGAGGCAATCCTGTTGCCCGGATCATCAAATTGCCATTGAAACTCTACGAGAACACTATCACTTTGGTACTGGGGGAAGCCAGCGAGGAACAGGATGCAGCAGATGATCTCTTCTCGGATGAATCTGAGGAGGAGTCTGAGAGCGAAGAGCAGGAAGCGGCTCGCAAAGCCCTGAAATGCTGACTATTGACATTGATCTCGGACTTTCCCCGTGGGCAAACGCTACTCAATACTACGAGCAGAAGAAGATGGCCGCGGTGAAAGAGCAGAAGACGGCACAGTCGTCGACCAAGGCGCTGAAGAGCCATGAGAAGAAAGTGACCGAAGATCTCAAAAGGAGCCTCAAGCAAGAGAAACAGGTCCTCCGTCCAGCCAGGAAACCTTTCTGGTTCGAAAAGTTCTTGTTCTTCATCTCGTCGGAGGGCTACTTGGTTCTGGGGTATGTGCTACGTTTGTTTCTGTTGTGCGATTTGTATGGTCTAACTTTGACAGTGGGCGTGACGCTATGCAGAGCGAGTTACTATACCGCCGTCATCTCAAGAAAGGCGATATCTTTGTGCATGCAGACTTGGAAGGCGCTCGACCGATGATCGTGAAGAACAGACCAGGAACACCGGATGCGCCTATACCGCCGAGCACACTCTCGCAAGCAGGGAACCTCTGCGTTGCGACATCGAGTGCTTGGGAATCAAAAGCAGTCATGGCAGCATGGTGGGTCAATGCGAACCAGGTGACTAAAACCACCACAGGCGGTCTTCTACCGACAGGAGAGTTCGAGGTCAAAGGTGAAAAGAACTTTCTCGCACCGTCACAATTAGTTCTTGGGTTCGCAGTCATGTTCCAAATCAGCAAGGAAAGTTTGAAGAACCACAAAATTCACATATTCGAGGACGCGACTCCAACAGAACCATCGGCGAAGGAAGACGAAATTACGAAGCAGCCTGCGGAGAACGAACCATCTGCAGCGCAAGAATCGGGACACGCAGAGGCAGATAAGCCTGCTGCGAACGGTTCAAGTGAGCAAGGCAGTGGGTCTAGCTCGGAGTCAGATGATGAAGAAATGAACGCGGACTCCATTCCGCCGAGGAACCCATTACAGCGGGGTGTATCTGAGCCTATTCCAGAGCAAGAGGGTACATCAGGAGAACCTAAGGGTGATGAAGAGAACGACGAAACTGAAGGTCAGGGCGAGGCAGCACAAACTTTCCAGGAAGAGACAGCAGCGGAGGAGGCGGAGTCTCTGGAAGAGAAAGCGGCAACATCTCAAGTCACAGGTGAACCAAGCCAGTTGAGCAAAGAAGGATCAGTCGAGCCCGCCACCGACTCGAAAGAAGTCAACCGGACTTCTAAAGCAACCGCGAACGGAGTACCCGCACAGGGGAAACCGTCGAGTTCGAAGAAAGCAACGCCAGCACCAGCGAAGGGAAAGAAGGGCAAAGGCAAAAAAGGCACGGATAAATATGCCCACCAAGATGAAGAGGAGCGTGAGCTTGCCCTTCGTCTGGTAGGTGCTAAGAGTGCCAAAGCTGAGAAGGCGGCTGCTGCCGCAGCGGCGAAAGCGCAGCGCGAACGAGAAGCTGAGGCGCAAAAGCAGCGGCGGAAAGCGCAACATGAGCGCGCTGCAGAAGCAGAGCGGAGACGGCAAGCACTTTTTGATGAGGGTGCAGCTGACGATTACAACGAAGAGACTGCTGCTGCAGAGGCGGCGGACCTTGCTTGGATTCCAGCACTGATTGGCACGCCTCGCCCAGAAGATGAAATTCTTGCCGCCATTCCGATCTGCGCTCCATGGGCAGCTCTTGGTCGCTACAAGTACCGTGTCAAATTACAGCCGGGCACGGTCAAGAAAGGCAAGGCCGTCAAAGAGATCCTTGGCCGTTGGGTGGCAGAGACCACTACCGGAAAGGTGAAGAAGGAGCAGGCTGAGGAAGCCGGTATCAGCATAGCTGATGCCGAGAAGCTAAGGGCTCGCGAAGGAGAGCTCTTTAAGGCATGGAAGGACACGGAGATCATCAACACTGTCCCCGTTCCCAAAGTCCGAATCATGACTGGAGGAGGGGCTACTGGAGGTGACGCAAAGGGCAAAGGGAAAGGAGGCAGCGGCGGGAACAAGGGAGGCAAAGGTGGAAAGAAAAAATAGATCTTGAGATATCTAGTCTACATGGCCGTTAAGAGCTAATGTCAGCTTTGACCGGCCGTCTTGATTATACAAATATATACTACTGGTGGCTGTAGTATCCGCATGTCGAAGTACTGGGTCCGAGATAGCCGATTTCCCTCTTATAACAGGCTTTTAGAACATATGCCTACCTTTCCATCTTTAAGTGTTTTATATTATTGAGAAAAATGATCTCATATGTCAAAAATAGTACGATCCTTGTCACCTGGCTGGTAGGAAGTCTAAGGTAGCCATTGTTATCATCAGGCTGTATAACGAACTTACACATAGACTCGCTTAGTCATGCGGATCGACGTCATCTCCAGAGAAATTCTGAAGCATGTCTGAGATCGTCAGGCAACGACGTCAATTCTCTATAAAATTATTACATAGGTGCAATTTTTAGGCTTCAATCATCCCTTAGAGGGATAGACACAAGGACAAGCCACTCGACAATATACTCCGTCGCATAGATAAACAAAGTGCGGTGCTTGCGCCTTATGCCCCACTAGACCCTCAATTTTCTTTTCTTCCTTGAGTCACCCCGCGGTTGTCTACAATTTCTCGGTCTTTTGGTAAATTTGCTGCTTGCACCTTCTAGGTGCCTCGGGCGGATTTCTGATTTTCTCACTGTCTGCCGGTGATTAGAGACCCCAGTTATCACAATCAGGCGTCCAAGCTGGTGTCCATCACGTCTCGCCTTGTCGCAGGCGGCTGTCGGCGCAGCTTGGCCCATTTCTTCAGCACGACTACCGCAATCATGACGCCACGAGAGACTCGAATTCTGTCTGTCCGACGACTGAACAAAGAAGATTCAGGGACCCGATCACTCGCAGAATGGTGGGCAAGCGAACGCAGCCAGAAGACGCCCGAGTCCTCGGCGATTGAAGAGGCTGCTCATCTCCTCCGAACAAGCGATATACCTGTTGCGTTTCCTACAGAGACGGTCTATGGCTTGGGAGCTGATGCGACACGGAGTGCTGCAGTGCAGGGGATTTACAAGGCTAAACAGCGGCCCTCAGACAACCCATTGATCGTCCATATCGATTCCATTGAGATGCTAGAACGACTTCTCAACCCGGCGTCGTCGAGTCCCACGCGCACAACGAGAACCGCGAGAAATCCTATCCCTGCCATCTACCAGCCTTTGATCGAACGCTTCTGGCCCGGCCCGCTCACAATACTCCTCCATAACCCGTCCGGGTCGCTGCTCGCTGGCGAAGTCACCGCGAATTTGACCACTTTTGGTGTACGAATGCCTGCGTCGCCGCTGGCGCGCCTATTAATCCATGTTGCGGACCGGCCGCTCGCGGCTCCCTCGGCTAATGCGTCTACGAAACCCTCTCCTACTGCGGCTGAGCACGTTTATCACGACCTTGAGGGACGGATCGATCTTATACTCGATGGTGGCCCCTGTGGGGTAGGAGTGGAGAGTACGGTTGTCGACGGGCTGAGCAACCCTCCGGCCATACTGAGGCCAGGCGGGGTCGGGATTGAGGAACTAAGGACGGTTCCTGGATGGGAGAATGTGCAGAACGCTTATCATGACGGCACTCTTGACGTCAAGGAGGTCCCTCGGGCTCCTGGCATGAAATACCGGCACTACTCGCCCAAGGCGCGTGTAGTACTATTCTGTGCTGGGTCCAGCGAGGAGGCGATCGCGAAGTACGTGTACAAGGACTTGGAAGATACTGCGATTAAGGCACATATCATTGGTGTCGTACGAACCCGGCAATGGAGGCGAGGCTTGGGTCTAGCATCAGAGGAGGACATCCAGAAGACGCTGAAACCTATCCCGTCCCTGGTGGATGACCTGGTGTGCTTCTCTATACCTGTGAAGGACAGGATTAACAATTGCGAGATCACCAAGGAGGCCTTTGACTGCCACCTGGGAGACAACATCGAGTCTATCGCGCGGGGACTTTTCTCGGCCTTGCGAGCCATGGATGAAATGGAGGTGGATGTCATCTACGTGGAGGGTGTTTCAGATTCTCAGGGCGACCTTGCGGCTGCCGTGATGAACCGGCTCAGGAAGGCTGCTGGGACTGTGCTTAAATTATAATAATTGGAAATAGACTATGGTACCTGGTTTCGGATTTTACTCTCTTCAGGACATGAATCTGGAGTTTGACTGGATGACATATAATGGATTTATGAATTTGCATGATTCAGCAGAGCTAAGGAGCGAGGATGTATATACAAGTAGATGTTGATCGACTTTTACCTTCTGGCAGATGATTTGTAGCTTCTTGCCTTTCAGATCCATGGAAAGATCAAGGCCTACTCCGACGCTTCCTCCGCTGTCGGCAACCTCCGAGACTCGTGATAGTGAACAACCGCTTGAGATTCCTAGCGAAGAAATGTCTAGCTCCACTTGTCTGGCTGCACGTTGCTTGATAGAACTTTAATACTCACAGAGTAATCTCTTATCAGTCACGTCTCTTGCAGATCGACGGATAACGATCGTTCTCAATGAGTCAATACAGCCGCTTCGATTGCTCGGAAAGTCCCACGGCTGCCCATCAATCATTTTACCAGATTTGACCCACGACCCGTTGTTACTGAGTATTCATAAATTGACTTGGAGGAATGACCACCCCAGGTTTTATCTCTCTTTTGAGCTGTCCGAGTTTCTCTCCTTGACGCGTGGTTCCCGCTTTCCTTACTCCAGATATCCAGCATCGACAATGTGTCAATCACCACTGCACGATTTCCTGCATGGTCTGCCCAAGTGCGAGCATCATGTGCACCTGGAAGGCTGCGTCACACCTGAATTGATTTTCCAGCTAGCAGAGAGAAACAACATACAACTACCAAACCCAGCAACCCACTCAGCCTACGCCTCAGTCGAAGCACTCAGAGCCCGCTACGGTGAGTTCACTTCGCTAAACGACTTCCTCGACTTCTACTTCCATGGCATGTCCGTGCTGCACCACGAGTCCGACTTCGAGGACCTCGCCTGGGCGTATTTTCAGAAAGCACACGCGGACGGCGTCCACCACGCCGAGGTCTTCTTCGACCCACAGGTCCATCAGGCCCGCGGCATCGACTATGAGACCGTTGTCTCCGGCTTCACGGCCGGGTGCAAGCGAGCAGAAAGGGAACTAGGTCTCTCGACCCGGTTGATTCTGTGCTTTGTGCGTCATTTGCCGGTCGACTCCGCGACCAAGCTGTATGAGCTGGCGCTTGCCAGCAACCACTTCGAGAGTGGGGTTGTGCATGGTCTCGGCTGGTCATCGTCCGAGGTTGGGCCGCCGAAGGACATGTTCCGTGAGATTTACGCTTCCGCGTCGGATATGGGTATCCGCTTAACGGCGCATGCGGGCGAGGAGGGAGATCCGACGTATATCAGTACAGCGTTGGAGCTTGGGGCACAACGTATTGACCATGGGATTCGGCTGGTCGAGGATCCGGAGCTGATGGAGAGGGTGGCTCGCGAAGGAATTATGTTGACCGTCTGTCCGTTGTCGAATGTGCGACTTCGGTGCGTTCAGTCGGTGGAACAAGTGCCCATTCGGAAGTTCCTGGACGCCGGTGTCAAGTTCTCGATCAATAGTGATGATCCGGCTTACTTTGGAGGCTATATTCTCGATAACTACTGCGCTGTTCAGGAGGCGTTTCAGCTTTCCATCCCGGAGTGGAGGGTAATTGCTGAGAATAGTGTCAATGAGAGCTGGATCGACGAAGCGAGGAAAGCCGAGCTACTCAAGCGCATTGATGATCATGTACAGAAGCATACTGTCGCTTCTTGATACTTTATGAGGAGATGACCTATGACTTGTTGATGTTGAGATGCTTGAGTGTACAGATGTATATATGGGGCGGGGAGCATATAGATGAATTTTGACCCGTTTATTTTCAATTGATACACTGAAAGGTGAGGTTTCCATGCTGTACCTGAGAAAGCTTAAGCTAATCAGAATAATGAGTCTATTCAATGGGACGTCCGTTCGATGTTGATTAACCAGGCCCTCTGGCTGTCACCTGATGTCATCGACTCCTACTAGCGAACAACAATGCCGCTAAGTATAAGTGACTGGGACAATATCATCAGCAGCAATCACCTACAACTCTCGCTACATAACTGCTCATAACAGTAGCAGATGAGCTTGAAAGCAGCCGATTTGGCCAGACAAGCAGCCAGCAAGACGCTCTTCCAGTCTGTCCGCTCGATTCAACCTCTACTGCACGTCTCAAGATCCCCGCTTTCTACAGCTTATCATCCCACCACTCTCCCAACAACCAAAACAGCAGCCAGACTTCCATTTCGTTTATATAAGAGAACAATGTCTACGACAATCCCCGACCGCTACAAGCTCATCTTCTTCGTGCCACACTCGCACCTCGAACAGTGCAAAGAGGCCATCTTTGCGACTGGAGCCGGTACCTTCCCTGGAGGCAAGTACAGCAAGTGCGCGTTCCAGATGCCCGGGCAAGGACAGTTTCTGCCTTCTGGGGATGCGAATCCTGCCATTGGAGCGGTTGGACAGTTGGAGACTGTTGAGGAAATGAAGGTGGAGATTATGTGTCTGGGACGGTCGATCATGCTGCAGGCGGTCGAGGCGTTGAAGAAGGCGCATCCGTATGAGGAGGTGGCATATGAGGTTTATAAGATGGAGAATGTTTGATTTCTCGTTGGGATTATGCTTCTGGAGCCTGTTGTGCTTGCTGGCCATGATTCATGATGGCGTTTGTACCTGTTTATAGTTGATTCAGCGTGGAGAATCCATCATTGACGAGCAGTTAATGCTGAAGGTCATGTTTGAGCGTTTTCTCAAGGCTTTGAAACTATCCAGCGATAATATCTATGATAATATCTATCCCATCCTCGAGAGCAATTTCGTCGATTGCACAGTTGATGTTGCGTTCAATCCTCAAGTCGTTCAGTGGAGTAATCTCTTAGCGCTGATTGGCTGATCGCAGCACCCGCAAAACGCCTCGTCGACTCCATTGAATTCATCTGCAACTCCGGCCATCATCGCAACAGCCTCAATCCGTCCTCCTCTCCTCCGATCCCCCTCTTTACTCGTCTCCTTCGCCAGCAATGGCTTCCAAGTTCTTCCCCGCTATCCCGCGGGTTGGCCGCCAATTGTTCCACCAGATTCCCAAGTCCCAATGCAGACCGTTCTCGGCTGGCCCGCAACGTTACAGCGATACACTTGCCGTGGTGCGTATGAAGCTATCAGCTATTGCGGCATATTCGGATATTCGCCGTCTTGGAAATGCATAAATGACAGTGGCTGACTGGTACTGTTCGGAGTTCTAGCATCGCAACAAGCCTAACAACAACCCCTCTATCCCTTTCAAGTTCTCCGAGCAGAACATGAAACTCGTCGATGAGATCCTCAAACGCTACCCTCCCCAGTACAAGAAGGGTGCCGTTATGCCCCTCCTGGACTTGGGCCAGCGCCAGCACGGCTATACCAGCATTAGCGTCATGAACGAAGTCGCCCGTATCCTTGAGATGCCCCCAATGCGCGTTTACGAAGTCGCTACTTTCTACACCATGTACAACCGTGAGCCGGTTGGAAAATACTTTGTTCAGCTTTGCACCACGGTATGAATACCGCCGTCTTTTTATCGCGAGGGAATTGGTAGGTTTGGACGGCTGCGCTAACGCAACCGGTTGATTAGACACCCTGCCAGCTCGGTGGCTGCGGTAGCACCAAGATCCTCGAAGCTATCCAGGAGCACCTGGGCATCACTGCCGGACACACAACAGAAGACGGCCTTTTTACTTTCATCGAGGTCGAGTGCCTGGGCGCCTGTGTCAATGCCCCCATGGTCCAGATCAACGACGACTACTACGAAGATCTCACGCCCGAGTCGATCAAGACCCTTCTCACAGCCCTGAAGGAGTCCGCCACAGCTGCAGAGAGCGGCAAGGAAGTCAAGGTGCCCGCGCCAGGCCCTCTGAGCGGAAGACACACCTGCGAGAACAGTGCCGGGCTCACGAACCTGCAAAATCCTGTGTGGGACCCCGAGACAATGATGCGGAAGGACGGTGCCTTGGATCAGCAGGCTTAATCATGTTCAGTATGATAACTCGGTTTAACAATTCAAAGTCTTCTGTTGCAGCTTGGTTTCCTTTTCCTTTCCAGTGGAATCTTCGCAGTCTCGTCTATGATGAGAGAGATTGTGAGGCGTCTTGACACTGCATGATTCCTAGATATCTACCATGTACAGTACGTTAGTCTGAAGTTCCTTTGCTTGGCGGTAGACAGCATGATGGAAGATCATCTACCATAGATGTTTGCTAAAACATCCCAACGAAGCTCCGTTTCTAGTCCTGTTCGTCCAAATTCCTGATTACCTCTCCATTTTAAGAGGATCCAGTAAGAACTGGATGCGCTAGCAAATATCGATCTGCTGAGCCTACTGGAGTGATGAGGACTGCGGTATGACCAGGTTACCTTAGTAGGTATGTTTATTGGTCAGTGTATACTCAGAGTGGAAGGGATATCTCTAGTAAACCCTCTCTCCTTTCTCTCTACCTTACCACCTTAACCAACCGACCCCTACTAGACATGTGTAGTAGGGGTTGGTTCTTCCTTGAAATACGGACAATCGTATTATCACATTGAAGTTTGAGAACTGTGTAATCCTACATTTACCTCATCGCTGACGTGACGCTTAATCGTACAAAAAAAAGGGTCATCAAGCAGACCAGGCACAAACTCCACGAGTCGTTCTCACAAACAGTTATCCACAACCAAGGCAGGTCCCTGGCAGCTTAACGCTTCTTCAGCAAGGCATTCATCGGCGTTTACCAAAACAGCCTGACCATTTCGCTCGACCAGGATCTTCCTACGTCGCTCCTGGAAAATGTTGATGTCAATTGTTCTCTTCATGAGCAGATGGTAGACGTGGACGCGTCTCGTCTGACCGTAGCGAAGGGCACGACCAATTGCCTGTGTCATCGAGGAATCATAATCATACTGCGTCTCGGCGAGCATGGGTGAGAGGAAGATGACATGATTTGTGCACTGCAGGTTTCTGTGAAAAATATTAGATGAGAAAGAAGGGAAAGGAAGAAACAGGGCAAGGTTACTTACAATCCAGCAGCCGTCTCGCTACCCAGATTCAGTATCACGACCTTTTCATTACCCTTTTTAAATTCTTCAATCTTCTTGGTGTCGCGCGCTGTTATCACTGTGTGAGTGATTTTTGCCAAATCGAATGCTTTGGACGCAACATCAATGAGTTCAGGGAACTGGATGAAAAGGATCGCTCGCTCCTGGTTGGGAATTCCTTTGACGATCTCGACCAATTTGTCCATCTTCCTTCCTCCATACTGAGTGATTCGGTCTCCTTCGACACCAAGCGAGGCAGCGCTGATCATGTTGAATTTTGTACCTGAGCCACGACAGTTGTCGACTATGCAGTCTTCAAACCGAACAGTCTTCTCAGCGCAGTCCTTACACAGTGCATGACCGCAGGATCCAACGACGTCTAAGTCCCTGCGCGACTGTACTTCTTCTCTGCAGCAGTGGCACTCCGGTGTTTCCCTGTTAGTTTGCAGCATTCGCACGGTACTGAGAAACCTCAGAGCTCTTTCACGCAGAACCCACTCGGACATTATGTTCCGCAAGATGGATGTAACTTCACCCATGCAGAGCTCGAAGTCATCGAGTTTCGTCGGCTTGATCGGGAGTTCGTTGCATTGATCTTTCTTAACCTCAGCACGCTTTGTCTTCTTTGCCTGGCGTTTCTGTGCTCCCTTGCCGGCCACTCGTTTTGCTTTCTTGGGGGAACCCTGCAGTTGGTTGTCCACTTCTGTCATCTTGTCGCTCCCAACGCTCCCTGTATCTCCCTGCGAGACGGTCGTCCCGGATTCGGCTTCCTCCGGGCTGCCTGCTTTCTTCGAGCTGGATCCCTTTTCAGCGAAGAAAAGCTTCCAGTCGTCCGGATGCGATGCGCACATAGCAGACTTGAAAAGCAGAAAAGCTGCAGTAGTCACTGCCTCGTCACCAAATTGATGCATGAGGACGCCTTCGGCGAATTTGTGAAATCCCTCATATTTCAGATCCCATCCGAAATAGAGCCAGGCGGCCAATTTCATCTTACTCGAAAATTCGGCTCGAAGATTAGCCAGTTGCTCCTCCCGAGTTGCAATCAAAGAACTGCAGGTGACTGCTTCTGGTTTCCCCTCCTCCCAGCGCCCTTTCAGTGTCAATGAGCAACAGCGCTTGAGCAGAGCTTCTTCCGGTGACGTACTGCTGCTGATGATTTCATCCAGTCGTTCATTCTGATCGTTTTTGAATCGCCCGCGCCTGCTCCGACGCAGCTGCTTCTTGTGCGCCATTAGCTGCTTGTACAGCTCGAGGTAGATTGCACACTCAGCTGGGGACTGATCAATCAGAATAAGGTGCTCCGAACAAGGGATCTCATCAATATCTGCAATATTCCGACGTGCAAACTGGTTTAGAAACCTTTGAGCAACCTCATGGCGGTTGCGATGCCATGCCTCGCTGTGAGGATCTCGCCATGACTGAAAAATTTCTGCGTCTGAGCGGTTTTTGCGCAGAACTTTCAGACGATGGTTCTGGGACGAACTATTCTCGTCATCAACTCCCAAATGGATCCCCAAGAAGGGTGCGATGGTTTTCACATCGGCAAAGTCGTTCAACGGTGGTGTACCTGAGAGCACCCACTTTGAACGAGCTCGCAGGGCCAGAAGGGGTGCGAGTCGCTCACTGCCGGCATAAGTGAATTCATCGATGATGATACGGTGGAAAAGGAATGCGTGCAAGAGAGGAGTCTTGACCGTGTACCACTGTTGGTTCCTTTTATTTCTGATGATGTTGAATTCTTTCCGGTCGTCCCACGTCTTTTTTGCCTTTTCAGTGCTTGACTGGTCACGCTTTCTCTTTCGACTCGTGCCGACCTTGCTGGGTCCTGCGTTCGTTTGAGCATTGCTCTCCGTCGAAGACTCTTCGTATGCAGTATCGTCCTCGGAGTAGGACTCATCAGGCGTATGCGTGGCGTCCCCTCTTGCGGCTTCGGACTGGAGCTCAATGAAATGCTCTACACTGGCCCGCACAGACTCAGGATCTGCGTCGGCATTCCCATCCGACTCCTCTGCGCTAGACAAGTCTGCGTACTGCATGCCATGCTCAGGCTTGGTATGATCCGTCTCATGTGCTGCCGCATACTGCTTGCCTCTAAGCCGCTTTGACGGGGTGTAGGTGCGGTTTCCATGAGTGGCCTTGACCGTTTGACGTTTCTTGCGCAGAGATTCCAGGAATTCACGGGGTCCTTGATCCATCAGAATTTGGACCTGTTCTCTGAGGGATTTCTGTGCCTCAGCAAACCAAGCATCGAAGTTCCGGCCTGCGTTTTCGGGAACTCGTGGCATGCCCGTGAATCTTTGCATTCTCTCATAGTATGACTGGTGGTTAAGAACAGACCAAGGCACCAAAATAATATCCGCACGAAGAATATCGCTGATCATCTTTTTCGAAAATTCCGTTCCAGAAGGCAACACCAGGACCTCGTACTTTTTGTCAACGAATTTTGTGATTTCCAACTGCCATTGCCGAAGCACGATTTGGGGCACGAGAATGAGAGTCGCTTTAGTGGGAATGAAGCCCGCCGTGGGCTTTGGTATAGTATCGTGTCCCCTGCTATGCTGCACGTCAATGAGCCCCAGTGTGATCGCTGTCTTGCCGTATCCTACATCGTCCGCTAAGACACCTCCGCAGACGGTCCTCTGGACTATGACCTTGCCCTCTGCACGCCACATCATGGATGGAAGGATTGCCTCTTCAACCTCTTCCTCGACGAAGGGCGCAATGTCATCCTTTTCTTGTCCTAACATCCATGTCAATGACCGCAATTGTTCTGGTCTCAGCGCTTTCCGAAAATTTGGCGGTTGACTGTGAGGCGGATCGTTTCTGTTGCTCAGCAAATTGAATTTAGGGAACGGGGCTCTTCGTTCATCATACGCGTTTGGGACGAGACGCCAGTAAAACGAGGGACTGCTTGATCCGGAGCTGCCCAGCCTTGCATGGGCTTTATGCAACAGCGTTTGCACGTTCAGGGTGACAAGGAAGTGGCCAACGTTATCTTCATCGACACGGCGAAAGATCAAGAACGGCGATGGCTGCGCTTTTACCTGACGCTCATACAGAGCTGCGTCCCTTGGATCCTCATATGCTTTGATTGAACCTTTTATATCCCGACCCCACAGTATTCTCGGCTTTGGAGGAGTACACACAGAGCAGATGGAGCCGGTTTCTTCGCCCAGTGAAACATATGTGGTAATTGAGTTCCAGTCCTGAAAGCCAGACAACTCCGAAGACTTCTGAATCAGCCAAGCAAAATCTCGCAGCAGAGATGTCGATTCTGTTGGATTGGTTACTTGCCATGGCCCTTTACGCCATAGAGAGTCAATGGCATCAGCTGACGCGGAGAGGGATAGCAGGGGGATGTTTGCGTCGTGGCAGCCAGCATTTGCCATGAACACAGTTGTCCCTGGCCGCAGGCCCCAACAAGTGATAGTGGAATCTGAGGGGTGTACATGCAACCTCATGGTCTGAACCTGGACCCATTTGCGATAATACGCATTGACATTTCTTTGAGCATCGCTTGCTCTGGAAGAGCGCCATTTGTGTGATAATTCGGCAATCGTGACACGGGACTCATAGCCGGGACTACGCTGATGCCCCAACGCGAATACAAAAGAGTCGTTCTTTGGCTCTCCCAGCTTTGTGGGGTCAAGGAACAAATATACTTCAGGGTCTGCATCGGTAGCCTCTTTCTTGTGCAGGCATCCATGTGCAGTGCCGCAGTCAGGCAGAAGTTGATAGGTTCCACGGATGTTGACTTCGAGGTGCTGACAATCGTAGCTGGAGCCTTGAACCTCCAGACGATTCCAACGGCTGGCATTAACAAACTCCCTCTTTTGCAGACCGCAACGTGCCTCGTAAGTCGGGACCTGACTGCCAGCGCCGGAGATAGTCAATGTAATCTTTGAACTCAGCGGGGCGCACACCTCCCAGACGCTTTTGCGGGTGACTGGATCCAGCATCATACGTGCGATGGGCTTCGATAGGATCTCACGGTGAAGGGATAGGGCAGGCTCCGAATCGAGCGGCTTCGCAAAAAGCAACCACTCGAATGTGGAGCCACTGATGATGAGTTTCAAAATGGAGCACTTTCCTTCATAGACAGCAGTCCAAACCCTACTGCGTCGTACATCCAAGAAACGGAGCTCATCTCCAACAGTTCTGGTAACGGCATCCAAGTATTTCTCCCAAACATGATCTGGGTTTCCAGGTAGACTTCTATCGAAAGAACGATAGCTTTCACGATCCAATCCAGACATGATCAATCTAGCGGGCAGTATGCTTTTGAACCTTCTGATGAAATCAGACGGCTGACTGCGAATCAAACCGGACCACCGCTCGTATGCATGAGATGGATTACCGGCGCAGTCAGAGCAGGCAGTATGTGCGCACAAGGTGCACTTCAAGATACCTTGCTTTACACCAGACTGCCTTTCGCATAAGCAGTACCTTGCGCTGCTTGCGGCTTGCCTTTGAAGATCCGAGATGTTGACTGGGCCGAGTTGGCTGAGCTGCGAGACCCGCGGCATCATAAGGAGATTTTCACGGAGGCCGATTCTCTTGTACGTGGGAACACGATTATTGGGAGTAGATGACTGCTCTCCTGGCGGCAGCACTTTATGTCCCACGATAAGGGCGGAGAGTACTGCGGCACCTACGACAGTTGAGCTCATGGCATTCCCGGCGAGATCCTGCAGATCCCGCGGTGATTCTCTGGTGAGCAAAAGTCTGTCCAATGGCAGACCTTGCAGCGCCAGGGCTTCAAGCCCACACAGGGGCCCGCCTCTTGTGGTGATATATGGGATACCTGAGGGTGTGATGCAGCCGACAATGCCAAACGCGCGACTATCGACCTCTCGTTCAACGCCTTGGGAGAGCTCAATGCATCTCCTGCGACATATATTAGCCGTTTTTGCTTATTTCCTCAAGAGGAGCGACCACCTTACTCTTTGAAGTTCATATCATATCCCTCAACCAGCTTCCGCAAGAAGTTGACATCAATGGTATCCCAGATCCGTTCGGGCAAGTACCTAAACCACATCTGCCAGGCAAAGTCCAGCATCTGGCATGCGCCGCTATCTTGAGACTTGCTTATGGGCCTTTCAAACCCAAGTTCCTGGGTCAAACGGTAGTTCTGATGACGAGCTTGGTACTTTGTCCAGTCGATGGTGGCTCTTACTGTCGTGGACGTGATCCGAATTGACATATCTTTCTCGATTTGTTCGAGCCTTGGATCGTCCGCGTCCAATAGGAACATACCTGCTGGGGAGCTTGCAGGACGTTTGAAAGCGTCGAAAATCTTTGGCCAATCCATCACACTCTGTTCAGATAGACCGTGCTTGCCCAAGAGGTTCCGGTCGATACAGAGCATGTATCCCCGTTCTCGGGTCTGTGGTAGATAATATGCCTTGGTATCGACGCTATTGTGAACAGCGACATAATTTATCTCATTCCAATGTTCTGCAATCTTTTCCCACGGCGCAGTTTTGACATTCTCCAGTACGACAATCCGCGGACGGTAGGCTACGGCATAGCGAATGATACCCCAGAAGGTGCCTCCAGACTCGCCCTGTTCATCAAGGGTCTTTCTCTTATTGTTCAAGCCAGAGAAGTCGACGCATGAAAATCCCGCGATCACCAAATCAGGGTTCTTGGGAATTTTCTCGAGAGAACCATACGCCGTTTGTCTAAAAGGGTGATCAGCACAATCAGCCTAGCTTGCCAGAAAAAGCATCTACTTACGCGAACCTGTCCTTCAGCTGTTTTACGTCTCGGAAGAGAAAACGGGGATGGAAATTACGCTCAATGTATGCCTGTTTGAAGGGCACAATCTCAGCGCTAAACAGATGACGAATCTCGAAGTCCTTTCTAAAATTTTTCCTGAGGACTGTGTCGAATGTCAGTTTGCAATATTAAGAAGCTGGAAAGGGTATCGCTCACCGTTCTGCACCATTTCCAAAGCAAGCAGAGGACTCTCAGTTCCCGAGCACATGGTGACAACACGCAAAGGCTTCGAGCCCAAGTGAGACAAGACGTCGTCGAAGTTCAGCTCCAGCGCTCTCTTCGTCATGTGCTTGTAGATGTCTTCCAGCTTATACAAAGGAGGAAGGTGAGAAGCAAGTCGAGTCTTTGCTGACATTGGTCCTGAATATGGCTGCGACCTCACTACCTCAGGGATGTCGGGATCAAGTCCCTCTGGAGGCGCGGGGCCGGGCCCGCCTGTCTGGGAGGACGAGGCATGCCTTCTTCAAAGCAATTAACGTGTTTCTGAAGGGTATTTTTCCTTTAAAGAAACTTTGGGTATGAGTATGATTGGGGATAGTAGACAAGATTGATAGGGCACGTGTATGTCACGTGGGTTCAATGGGTGTTGGGGATAGAAAGTGAGGCGGTGAGAGGAATGAGGGAAAAGGAGAAAAAGAAGAGGGGATGGTGCAGTTTGTTTACGTGTGTGGGATCAGAGGGTGAAAGGGTAGTGAATGGTAGAGTGAATGATGCGCTGGGATGAACGTCTGTCGCTATGTCAACTGGACGACCCGCCATCTTCTACAGGTTCTGTATGTAACGACAACACTATCCACCTGGCATCGTGTGCACTGTTACTCTGCTCAATGGGTGATATACGTGATGGAGAATGTATTATTGTACTACAAACTTCGGAAAGACACTACTAGATACCCTCCTCCCAGTAACGACTAAAAAGAAGTAGATTAACGCCGCATCTCCCGTCAGCAATATCATAGTGCATCCTGCTAGGAATCTTAAAAACCAGAAACTAGTCCAAGCCGCTCGAAGAGCACTTGCCACTGGAACCATCTTTCAAGGTATCAACCGCCTCAGAGTCAGAGTCACCCACGACCCCCGCCTGAAGCGAAGCCATCAGCGGGTCCATCAGCCGACCATCCCGGATCGCTTCGTAGATGATCGATATCCAAGACCCGACTGTCTTCTTAGAACGACCACCAAGCGTATCACTCTGCGCAGTCGGATGCTCGACGAACCCCTGATGGAACGGCACGCCAAGCTGGCGCCGCACCGTCTGGTAAAGGATCCTTGAGCCCGTTCCGAGCATTCTCTCTGTGTGCTGGTAGCTGAAGAACGCGTGCGCGGTGTCCTGGTAGATCTCATTGAGGAGGGCACTGGCGCGGGTTTTCCAGGTCTCCAGGTCGGAGAAGGTCGGGGTTTGGCTTGTACCAGTACCTGCGCTGGAAGCAAATGTCCGACACAGGGTGGGGAGGGCGCTTGTAACGACTTCTTCGATGCGGTCGGTGACGTTGAGGCGGGTTGTGGTCGGCCAGGATTTCTGGATATGTGTTGATAGGGCTTCATTGAGGGTTGCGAGGTCGGAGTCGGAGAGATGTTCGGAGAACAGATGGGAGGTGAGCGTGTGGAGCTGTGGTGTTGAGCGCTGCAGGAAGGTGATGTGGAGGACGCGCAAGTCTAGTGCCTGGCAGCCGATGTAGAGGCTGCAGGCGCACATGAGGGAGACGATTTCCACTGCTTGCATAGTGTATCGGCCCGACACGAACGCCATGGAGTTGACGGACTGGTTGTGCATCTCGGCTGTCTGGACGTGGGAGCTGACCGGGTTGGCGAGATAGGCTAGCTCCGCCATGTAGGAGGCCATGCTGATGTCGACGCCTTTCATGGTGAACGAGAGGCTGGGGTCGTCGGCGACGAGGTTGGTGGGCAGCCCGTTGTTGAGGCTCGGGTCGATGAGCTCGGTGGCCTGGGCGAAGAGGAGCCGGCCGAACATCTGAAGACAAGTCCGGGTCTTTTCCATGGCGGACGTGATGGAGACGGCTTGGAAGTTGCCGCCGTAGAAGATGTCGTCGGACTGCGCGTCCACTAGGGGATTGTCACAGGAGGAATTGAGCTCGACGGTGACTTGCCGGTGGGCGAGAAGGAGATCTTCAAGCTGTGGGCCAATCCACTGTGGCACGGTGCGAAGTGCGTAGCGATCCTGTATCAGGCCGGGACGGTTGCGGTCTTTCCGATTCCGCTCAAGGTTCTGTGCGAGCTGCGAGCCCTGCAGGAAGGACATTACGTTTCTCGCGCATTCAATCTGCCCGTCGTGCGGGCGGATGGCGGAGATGAACGGATGGAAGCTTTCTGCGTTGCCCATGAGGGCTTCCACGGTCACAGCTGATACCGCCTGGACTAGGACAGCGAGTTGATGCGCTTCATACATGACCAGACTGGCCAGTGCAGCAGAGGCCGAAGTACCATTGACGAGGCCGAGGCCCTCCTTTGGTCCTAGTGTCTGCGCCTCGAGGCCCGTGGACAGCAGAGCATCACGCGAGTTCATGATGCGGGTTTTATCTGAATCCTGAACTTGCACATATACATCCGGACTACCTTCGATGGCTCCCGCGATGTAGGAAAGCGGCATCAGATCGCCTGAAGCTGAGATGGAGCCTCTCAGAGGTACCACAGGCGTGATGTGATTCTCGATCAGCCGCAGCAATGATTCAATCACAGGCAATGAAACGGCAGAATGGCCACGAGCGTTCGAATTGCATCGGACCAGCATTGTGCCTCGCACCCACGAGGGTGGCATGGCGTGCGATTCAAGCGACCGCTGCTGAAACTCTAAGCCCTTGTCTGATCTAACTAGAACGCCTGCCTGAAGAAGTTGGAGCAGTCCAGACTGCAGTGCAACGACTCTGTCAGTTCGAGAGTCGGCGCTTCCACCAAACCCTGTATTGACACCTGTGGATTTTTATTAACATCTAAATCGGTCAATGCTGGTTAACAAGGCATAGTACCGTATACGCAGTAACCCTTGTCCAGATGGTCCATTAAGACTCGAACACTCGCTTCGATGCTGCCTCGGACAACAGGATCCATAGTCATCCTAGGTATGCACCCATGGCTGCGGTATCAAGATTGTCAGTCTCGCGTTCCCAGGTACTAGAAATGTGACAGACTATACGTACTGTGCAACGGCTACCACAGCCGCTATATCAAGGCTTGTACCATTTACCTCGACATCCTGGCGTTCCAGCAGTTGTTGCAGCCTCTGCCAGGTCTGACAGGCTGTCTCAAGATGGGCATTGAGATAAGGAGTCTTCATTTTCGGTTCCTTCAAGCTTAAGGAAGCATCGGGATTCGCAGTTGATATCTCAATATGCACCTTCTAGGAGTAATGATTTTCGAAAAAGCAAATCAAGTCTCTATTTATCCCTCGATCTGACCCGGAATTCGGAACGAGTAGAGCCCTCTCCTCAGCCGCAACCTGGAAAGCAAATGTCTCAGCTATTCGCCTTCCAGGAAGGACCAAGATCGCCGTATTGAATAATGGGGCAGAGGATCGACTTGCAAAAGTACTATTGCCGCGACTGAGGGCGTTCAGGGGGAGCGTGGTTGGTGGCATTGGCATGTTTGCTTCTTCTTCTGCCCCATCCCGCATTCCTCAGCTGTGGATGGCTTGGGAGGTTGCACAACATGGTTGGTCGAGCGCTGGAGGTTATTGATTTAGAATCAAGGTTGGTTTTGATCTATCGATGATCAACGAGGGTCTCGGGATCATGCAAGGCTCGAGAGCTCGTGGTGACCAACCTTGATTCGTGCACTGCAGGTAATTATCCCCTGTAATCTCTTGCATGTTACAGTGGCTTGAATGAATCGTGCTCCGGCCGTGCAGCATGCATCGATCCGATCATGGGATCAAGTAAGATAGATATGCGTGACGGGAACCAGATCCGTGAGAGATTCGGACAGGGATCGCAGTGGAGAAACCTGGATTGAAACTTGCTGGGGGTGGAGCGTGCAGACGCTATTGACCTTAATTTTGAGGGCCGTAATCGCCTGGCGAATCGGAATGACATGAATGAAGCTGGAAATGTGATATCGTTCCTAGCCTGAGGTCCGTGAGAGTAGTGCAGAAGTCTGTTACCAACAACACTCGCATTGTCACCTGATTTTGTTTCTGTGGCCAGAGAATCTAGGCAGCATCCTTTATATCCAAGTTACGTGCGATGGTGATTCCTACAGTGACATCAGGAACATAGACAAACATTCAGTACGTTGAGATTGGTATCTTGCTACAAGTAACCTCTGCTAGGTATACATTCGCTCTGAAGATATGCAAGTGAACCACAGTAGACCATAATGAACCATGTGCGCCATCCCTTTCCCAGTTGACAAGATGGTAAAAAAAAAGTGAGAGAAAAATGGCAATAAATGACCGACAGTATCCGCAATAAGAAAGTACACCCGTGGGCGGCTCTACCTCATGGCTCCTTGCATCAACTGCTGACGCAAAAGCATGATTTGATTCCGCTCCATTGGTGGCAAAGCATCAATAGCTGACTGTGGCATACTGAGCACTTGTTGTAGAAGTTCTTCTTGCGAGGGAACTTGTTGCTGGGGTGCCGCTTGTGCCGCGGGTTGAGGGGCAAAAGGTGTATTGACAATTGGTGGCGTGGAGATCTGACCAGGTACGGCTGAGAAGGGCTGAAAAGCCTGTGCCGCAGGGGGAGCTGAAGGAGCAGCCGCCGCTGTTGGTTGTGTCGCTTGCTCTACCACTACCCCCAAAGTGCTGTAGTCGACGAGATTCATGAGCAACAGGGCCTGGAAAATGGCATACGCCAGCTGCGGGGCCTGTCGCAGGAGCTCCGTCGCGCGGGCCGGATCGGTCATTGCCAAAGACTTCATTTGTGAAAGAACGTCAAGGAGCTGGTTCGGGGGTAAGGACGAAAGTGTCTGAGAGATAGCGTTTGGACAATCCAAGTGAGGCGGCACCTCGACACCGGGGGGAAGAGGGGGGAGCGGCGCAGATGGCTGCTGACCGTGTTGAGCATCCTGACTGGGCATCTGAGATGTCTGAGAGTAGTCAGGGGGCACCGAATCCTTCTCGTTGTTGTGAGGCCAGTCCACGCGGATCTTCCTGCCCATGATCTCGAAGTCGTTCAAGTTTCGGACCGCGGAGGCGGCGGCGTCTGCATCGGCGAAGTCTGCGAAGCCATAACCCTTTGGTTTTCCCGTCTCCGGATTCATCATAAGACGGAATTTGGTAACTGTGCCAGCGGAGCTGAGGATGTCTTTGACCTGTTCCTCCGTAAGGTCTGAAATGGACTCGTTAGCCAGACTGGACAGGAGTGCAACAGAGGCGAACGGAAGCGCACATACTATAAGGAATATTTCCCAGGAAGACACTCTTCCCAGTCCTCTCTGGAGCCATTTTGCTGCGTTTATCGATTTCCAATGAGCTCCGTTTCTGAAGGCAAGGCTCTAAGCTGAGCGCGTGACGTGAGTTAATGGCAGGATTTGGAGTGCCGGGCGAGTAATGGTAGAAGGCAAACGTAAATTAAATTACAGATATATCGCAGGATTTTCTAGAACAGTAACAATTCAACAGACCAAAGCTCGAGATCTGTGTTGATGAATGAAGTATTGCAGCAATGAAGAAAAGCTGCGAGCGGGACCAAACGCTTAGTCTTCTTTGAGCTGTCTCCAGGCGGTGGCTGAACTTTTGATCGAACCTCAAAGTGCCGGGCTCATCCACACCTTCACTTCTCCGACGTCAGCTTCACATCTTTCAACCGCAATCATGGCCCGGAATCCTAAGGAACAGTGGGAGCGGCTTCAGGTAATTCTGCAGAACCGTGCAGGTAAAGGAGGGTTTGGTTTTGGAGGTGGATTTCCTGGAGGAGGTCGCGGCGGCTTCGGAGTAACTGGAGCTCTCATCGTGCTCGGTCTCGGTGGATGGGCTTTGTCGAACTCGCTCTTCAACGGTGAGGTTGCATTTCTTATCATGGATAATTCGAACTACAGAAGTGCTGACTTGTCATTCGGTCAACAGTTGATGGTGGTCACCGTGCCATCAAGTACTCGAGAATAGGCGGAGTCAAGAAAGAAATCTACAACGAAGGTACCGATGCCATTATCTGAGACCATTCCTACGGCAAAATCATCTGACAAACATCTTTTCCTACTTTAGGAACACATTTCCGAATCCCATGGATTGAAACACCGGTCATCTACGACGTGCGCGCGAAGCCACGGAACATCGCTTCCCTTACGGGTACCAAGGACTTGCAGATGGTGAACATCACCTGCCGTGTTCTATCAAGGCCTCGAGTAGATGCACTTCCTCAGATCTACCGTACCCTCGGCACAGACTTTGATGAGCGTGTCCTTCCGTCCATCGTTAATGAGGTTCTCAAGAGCGTGGTTGCGCAATTCAACGCGAGCCAGCTGATTACACAGCGTGAGAATGTCGCGAGACTCGTTCGGGACAACCTTGCTCGCCGTGCGGCCCGCTTTAACATTGCTCTAGACGATGTGTCTCTTACTGTACGAACCCTTTGGCTTGGACAGCCCCCAATCAGTGCTTATATAACTAATCTGGTTCATTTCGGCTTTCTAGCATCTGACCTTCTCCCCCGAATTCACCGCCGCCGTCGAAGCCAAGCAAGTCGCTCAGCAGGATGCCCAGCGTGCTGCCTTCCTCGTCGACAAGGCCCGCCAGGAGAAGCAGGCCTTCATTGTCCGTGCCCAGGGTGAGGCCCGCTCTGCTGAGCTCATCGGTGACGCGATCAAGAAGAGCAAGAGCTACATCGAGCTCCGTAGGATCGAAAACGCGAGACAGATCGCCCAGATCCTTCACGAGAGCGGCGGAAAGAACAAGCTGTATCTTGACACCCAGGGTCTGGGTCTCAATGTCAACGCATCACGCGGAGACGAATCGAAGTAAATGCAAATGCTTGGCGACTCTCGGATCAGAATTACTGGCGCTATTGCAATCGCTCGGGTCGCGATCTAGGATGTGGAACATGTTATCTGTATAAATAGTTGATCTTCAGGATTTCAGTGCAACCTGGCGAATTGTTTCTCTTCTCTACTGTTGCATCTTCTACTACGATTGCCGTGGAACCCTTCTCAGAATCCTCGTAGGACCTATCCGCTGTTGACAGTAACGTATAGTTCAATAATTCTAGCACCAAGTACCGATATTATCAACTCGAAATCTAACGTCTTCCCATTAAATATCTCTTTGCCATTCGATAACGCCGTGTCCGGTCTTCTATCAAGGAGTGGATAAGCAGTGCGGGGATGCGATAAAAGCGGTGGGCGGGACTCATTTTTTTCAATATCGGAGGCCTGCACATACGTATCTCTCCTCCAACGAGAATTGTAATTTAGCACTTGTTCAGGGTTCAGCCTGCTGTATCCCTCAGAAAACACACAGGTACGTATCCTGATCCAGGATTCTCCAGAGTTCGCACAAATTCTCCATCAGCCTCGTCGATTGCCATACCAGCGCATCTACAATCAAACAGCGAAAAAGCTACTGACTCCCAGAATACAGAATGGCCGACCCCCTCGCAGACCTCGACTCCAATGTCGACCTCACAGTCCAAGAAATCCTCTTCGCCGCTTCACAACACGACATCCCCAAGCTCCGCCGCCTCATCCGCTCCAACGATAAAGACGGCAACCCGGCCAGCGTGAAAGACCCCGAGACAGGGTTCACGCCTCTCCACGCAGCGATCGCAGCTTGCGAGCCCGAGGAGCCACAAACAGAGACCAATGGCGTCAATGGAGAAACGAGCACCGCCAGCACGGAGCAGAAGAGTCTCGTGCAGTCCGCCGCGGAGACGGTCAAGTTCCTGCTCCAGGAGGGCGCGATCTGGAATGACCTCGACCTGAACAACGAGACGCCCGGGTGTATGGCGCGGCGGCTGGGGTTGACCGAGCTGTATGAGATGATGGTGGATGCGGGTGTGCGGGCGGAGCTGCTTCTCAACCGGTTGGATGGGTACGAGCCGCTCTCTGACGAGGAGGAGGATGAAGAAGAAGCGGGACAAGACGATGCGGACGCCAACGAACCAGCTGCGGAAGAGGAGCAGGATGACGCTCCGGAGTTAGTCGTGACAAGCACGGCCAGCGCCGCCGAGGCAGGCACAGCAGCACCAGGACCGGAGGTCACGAGCTCACGCTACCTCGACTCCAACCTGACCTTCACAAACGACCGACTGCTCGACCAGGACCAAAATGGCGTGATGATGGCCTGGGAGACGGAGATCATGTCCCGATCCGCCAAGAAGCTGCTCCCTACTACAGGACTGCGCGTCATGAACATCGGCCACGGCATGGGCATCGTCGACGGCTTCATCCAGGAACAGTCGCCGGCCGCGCACCACATCGTCGAAGCGCACCCGGACGTCGTGGCGGAGATGAAGCGGAAAGGCTGGCACGAGAAGCCCGGCGTTGTGATCCACGAGGGTCGCTGGCAGGATATCCTGCCTGCGCTGGTGGCGCAGGGCGAGACCTTTGATGCGATCTACTACGACACCTTTGCCGAGTCGTATGCTGATTTCCGGGAGTTCTTCAGCGAGCAGGTTATCGGGTTGTTGGAGCAGGGGGGCAAATGGGGCTTCTTCAATGGTATGGGGGCTGATCGGCAGATTAGCTACGATGTCTATCAGAAAGTGGTAGAGATGGATCTATTCGAAGCCGGGTTTGATGTAGAGTGGGAAGAGATCAAGGTGCCCAAGCTCGAGGGAGAGTGGACTGGTGTCCGCAGACCGTACTGGGTGGTTGACAATTATCGCCTGCCCTTGTGTAAGTTTATGGATTAAATGATATACCCTTGGATAATCAATAGATGGATATGATATACTAGTTAGATATTTCAATCTCTCCTACTACGCTCGTTTTCTTAGCAACAAGACTCTATGCTTTCCATATGCGATCTCTAATGGGGATTTCATATAGCAAGCTACATATCGGCGCCAGTCGGCGCCAGCGTATATATTACATAGGTGTACTACCTATAACCAGATGATTGGTCTCGGCAAGAGAAGGGAATGATCTTGAAGTGATTATGTACAATCTAACATCGTCTAGTTACATGTGATTAACCAGTCTGGTCATCTTAGCATACAGGAAAAGCTCCGTGGCGATCAATGCGCATCGCTAATTCAAATGGGAAGGGGACATTCGTAAAAGCAAAGAAAGAGATGGTTTGAAGGGGATCATTGCGAAACGACTCCGATGTAGGCTTGCTTGCGGACAGGAAGTAATAGCAGAAAGGGGTATCTATAACTGAATGAGATCGATCTCCGAGAAATCCGGTGGACTGCGGCTGAAAATGGTACGGCACTTGCCGTCCAGCGCTTGATACTCGTTACTGATCCAGATGTGCTTGCTGAACCGTTGAGTTCGATAAATCTCATCATCGCTTACTCCCAGATCGTCTCGCGGAATCCATATCACGGGACGTTTTGCTCGTAGAGCGTCATGTTGAAACGCTCGCTGAGTCAGTTGATCACGCTCATCTGGTGTGAGATCCTCCAATTCATCATGAATACCGGCAAACAATGCGTGCCCTATTTTACCCGTAGGAGGGCCTTGGGCTTCGGCGTCATGCGTGATCTTCTCACGGACTCGCTGCAAGGTCGGCACTGAACCGCTCGAATGAGTTCCAAAATATTTAGACCGTGTTTTTGATGACCGATCTGCCCATGAATGATGGCGGCTGTTGTGGAGAGTGCCCGTCTGAGTCGATGCTCGCCGCCCAGAATTCGCTTCGATGTTCTTCAGTTCGATCTCGTGGGCCCTCCTATCTGCTTCGTGCTCTTGATATTCCCGCTCTGCCAGCTGGTGCTCGATCGTGTCGGTCTGATCTTCCTCAGGGAAGCCAAGGCGGGCGCGCTGAGCGCGACTGAACTCCTCATCACGACGAACAGCATCATCCTCCAAGGTGATCGGCAAGTAACGGATCAGCGGGCTGAAGGCTTCGTTCAGAAGGATTTGGTACCCGATTGTGAGAATCAAAACCACAATCATGCATATTGCTTGCCCTTCGCAGGCAACGTTGCCGTCCACATCACGGACCAAAAAGAACAGCCCGATCAAGCTGAGTTCCATGACATATAAGCCCGTGAAGAGCTGGTTGATAGCGCGAGGGAATAGTAGCCCGCCAGTGTCAAAGCGGAATTTGGTGACGTACAGCGTGTTATATCTGTACACGAACCAGAACAGGCCAAAGGTGATGATGTTGAAGACCAAGATCAAAGGGGATATCACACAATAGATCAAACCTGATTTCGCGCATTAGCTACATCAGAAGTAGTCCCTCTGGGGTTAAACATACCGATCGATGCGAGAGTAGTATAGACCGGAAAGAATGTTCCCCATTGCATCTGATTCAAGTTCGTTGTGCGACCCCATTTCTTTCTTGCTGTGTTATCCAGTAAGGGTGCTAGAATAAACCAGCTGAACAAGCCAACGATCTGCACTAAAGCTCCGGCACTCACTGACAGCGCCTGTAGAATCATATACGAGAAGAAATAGTTGCTCGAGGAGGGGATGTTTTGGGCCAGTAATTCTGGCCAACTGGTAACGTTTGTGACGTTATCGATGATCGTCGAGAAACTGGACGAGATAGCAACGACCAGGAACAACTGGACGAACAGGAAAGCGAAGAAGTAGTTCTGAACGGTAAGTTCGATGGCCATGCCTGTGTGTAACCCTTGAGCTCGACAGAGGAATCGGAGAATCAGGGGCAGGAGCGCCATCAAGATGGCTAAGAAAAGCGGGGGCAAGATACCCTGGATGGCAGAGATGAGCCAGTCTGGCAGCTTGGAGATCCAAGATAACCATGTGAAGGCATT